TATTTTCTTTCTATTGCGGTGTAAGTTCTTGCACTTTTTTGAATTTCAATGACTTTACCCCGAGCTTATGTTTCAATATTTGCCGAATTGAATATTGCGATATGTTCAGCTCACGAGCCATTTTTCGATCAAGTCGCTTCTTTATTTTTCGAACCATTTCTGCTGATGTTGCTGTTTTCTGACCACTTCCTTGACGTCGAGCTACGCTACCAGGCTACCACGGTAACGAGCGATAGTACGGGACTCAAAAGATTTATTCACATTTAAATGCTGGAGTGCTTTAACGATAGCCACTTGTTGTTTTCCAGCCGAAAATATTAAGAAATCACACTATCACGCTTGAATTCCATCTCGAATAACTTTTTATCCGGAAAATTCTCACCAAAATGCTTTTGTGCGCTTGTAAACAATATAATGAACTATCACTGGAATAATTTTAACAGCTGTCGGTCGAGTGGCTTAGAAATGACAAAAGTCTGAAGTTTGTTGCAGTTTTTTCATCTCACCCTATAGAAGCCTCATATTAAAAATCTGACTGCCTTTGATAATTAAATTTCTAGAAATTACCTTAATTTTCAAAATCTAACCCCTTACCTTCCAGTGTCAATATTACAAACCCCAGTAGAGTAAAATATGTCAGTGTTATTTTCCAAATCCAAAAAAAAAAGACATGGACTTAAAATAAAATCAACTTCCAGCGTTCATTGAAAGTAGGGTGTCATTTGACTTGACTCCCGGCGACATGACTCGATTTCGAATACATGAAGTTCGTTTTTTTTTTTTGTTTTTGGATTTGGTGTTGTCAACCAGTATTTGGATTTCTAATGACATTCAGTATTTTATTACATGTTTACAGTTACAATAACACTTAAAGTAGTTGTTTTGTTGTTTTTTGTTAAAAATAAAGATACGAGATACGGATAGATTTACATTTACGATATTTCATGGTTGGATTTTTGCTGCTGCTGCTGATTTTTTCACTTTTGTATATTTTATATATATTTATTTAAAATTTCTATACACATTTGTTGTTATGTTATACATACAATACATTATTACATTACAATATATATTTATTTTGTTTTTGTTTATATATATATAATTATTTTGTTACGATATTTTGTTGTATATAAATATTTTTTTATGGGAGGTTATTCGATTTTTGTCACATTTTAGTTTCCTCTCGCTTTGTGTCTCTCTGAAGCAACTTGGATTTAGAATGGAGATTCTGAAATGCATCACTGGGCTGATATTTTTTTAACATTTTGGAAATTCATTTAGGAATTTTTGAAAGAAAAAAATATTTGGATAATTTTTTGTGATAAATGAGAATTTTTTCTGTTGAAAGAAGTTATTCGGATAATTTTTTCGGTGGGAAGAAATTATTTGGATAATGTTTTCTATTGGGAAAAGTTATCCTGATATTTTTTTCTATACGAAAAATTTATCCGTATAATTTTTTCTATCGGAAAATTTTTTTCTATAGAAAAAAGTATCCGGATAACTTTTTCCGATAGGAAAAATTATCCGTATATTTTTTGAAATTGAAATAACTTATCCGGAAAAATTTTTCTATAGAAAAAAATCATTCGGATATAATTTTCTATAGAAAAAATTTATCCGGATAAAATTTTCTAAAATGGAAAAATTTATCCGGATAAAATTTTCTATATAGAAAAAAATTTATCCGGATAACATTTTCTATATAGAAAAAAATTTATCCGGATAAAATTTTCTATATAGGAAAAAATTTATCCGGATAAAATTTTCTATATAGGAAAAAATTTATCCGGATAAAATTTTCTATATAGGAAAAAATTTATCCGGATAAAATTTTCTATATAGGAAAAAATTTATCCGGATAAAATTTTCTATATAGGAAAAAATTTATCCGGATAAAATTTTTTATATAGGAAAAAATTTATCCGGATAACATTTTCTATATAGGAAAAAATTTATCCGGATAACATTTTCTATATAGGAAAAAATTTATCCGGATAAAATTTTTTATACAGGAAAAAATTTATCCGGATAACATTTTCTATATAGGAAAAAATTTATCCGGATAACATTTTCTATATAGGAAAAAATTTATCCGGATAAAATTTTTTATACAGGAAAAAATTTATCCGGATAACATTTTCTATATAGGAAAAAATTTATCCGGATAACATTTTCTATATAGGAAAAAATTTATCCGGATAAAATTTTCTATATAGGAAAAAATTTATCCGGATAAAATTTTTATATAGGAAAAAATTTATCCGGATAACATTTTCTATAGAAAGCATTTATCCGGTTAATGTGTTCTATAGGAAAAAATTTATCCGGATAACATTTTCTATATAGAAAAAAAATTATCCGGATAAAATTTTCTATAGAAAAACTTTATCCGAATAAAAATTTCTATAGGAAAACTTTATCCGGATAAAATTTTCTAAAGGAAAACTTTATCCGGATAAAATTTTCTAAAGGAAAACTTTATCCGGATAAAATTTTCTGTAGGAAAACTTTATCCGGATGAAATTTTCTATAGGAAAACATTATCCGGATAAAATTTTCTATATAGAAAAAATTTATCCGGATAACATTTTCTACAGAAAAAAATTTATCCGGATAACATTTTCTATAGAAAAAAAATTTATCCGTATAACATTTTCTATAGAAAAAATATTTATCCGCATAACATTTTCTATAGAAAAAATATTTATCCGCATAACATTTTCTATAGAAAAAATATTTATCCGCATAACATTTTCTATAGAAAAAATATTTATCCGGATAACATTTTCTATAGAAAAAACATTTATCCGGATAACATTTTCTATAGAAAAAATATTTATCCGGATAACATTTTCTATAGAACAAATATTTATCCGGATGACATTTTCTATAGAAAAAAGTTTATACGGATAAATTTTCTATATAGAAAAAAAATTTATCCGGATAAAATTTTCTATATAGAAAAAAAAATTTATCCGGATAACATTTTCTATACAGAAAAAAATTTATCCGGATAACATTTTCTATATAGAAAAAATTTATCCGGATAACATTTTCTATATAGAAAAAAATTTATCCGGATAACATTTTCTATATAGAAAAAAATTTGTCCGGATAACATTTTCTATATAGAAAAAAAAATTATCCGGATAACATTTTCTATATAGAAAAAAAAAAATTATCCGGATAACATTTTCTATAGGAAAAAAAATTATCCGGATAACATTTTCTATATAGAAAAAAATTTATCCGGATAAAATTTTCTATAGGAAAACTTTATCCGGATAAAATTTTCTATAGGAAAACTTTATCCGGATAACATTTTCTATAGAAAAAATTTATCCGGATAACATTTTCTATAGAAAAAATTTATCCGGATAACATTTTCTATAGAAAAAATTTATCCGGATAACATTTTCTATAGGAAAAAATTTATCCGGATAACATTTCCTATAGGAAAAAATTTATCCGGATAACATTTCCTATAGAAAAAAATTATTTGTACAAAATTTTCTATAGAACAAATTTATCCATATAACATATTTTATAAAAAAAATATCCGTATAAAATTTTCTAAACAAAACATTTATGTGAAAAACATTTTCTAAAGGAAAAATTTATGTGGATAAAATTTTGTATAGAAAACAAAATGTTCTATGTAAAACATTTATCCGGATAAAGCTTTCTATAGCAAAAATTTATCCGGATAAATTTTCTACAGAAAAAATTATTATTTTTTCTACAGGAAATTATCCGTATAATTTTTTCTATTGGAAAAAGTTATTCGGATATTTTTTTCTATCGGAAAAAGTTATTCGGATAATCTTTTCTATAGAAAATGTTTCAGGATAATTTTTTTCTATAGAAAAATTTTATTTCGATAAAATTTTCTATAGAAAAAACTCTTTCGGATACAATTTTCTAAAGAAAAAATTCATTCGGATAAAACTTTCTAAAGAAAAAATTGATTCGAATAAAATTTTCTAAAGAAAAAATTCATTTGGATAAAATTTTCTATAGAAAAAAATTATCCGGATAAAATTTTCTATAGAAAAAAATTATACGCGTCATAAACTTTTCTATAGAATTAAAAAAATTTTTTCTATGGTAAAAATTTATCCAAGCAAAGTTATCGGGATAATTTTCTTTAAATGAAAAAGTTATCCGGATAAGTTTTTCTATGGAGAAATTTCATCCAAATAATTTTTTCTATAGAAAAAAAAATATTTTCTATGGAAAACGTTATCCGCATAATTCTTTCTATAGGAAATTTTTATCCGGATAATCTTTTTCTATGTGAAGAGATAATAAATAAATTTTTTCTATGGGAAAAATTTATCCAAGCAAAGTTATCGGGATAATTTTGTTTATATGAAAAAGTTATCCGGATAAATTTTTCTATTGGGGAAATTTTATCCGAATATTTTTTTCTATATAAAAAAACTATTTTCTACAGAAAAACGTTATCCGCATAATTCTTTCTATAGGAAAATTTTATTTTTTATTAAAAAGTTATTCGGATAATTGTTTCCATCGGGAAAATAATTTCTATGGGGAAATTTATCCGAATATTTTTTTTCTATAGGAAAAATTTGTGCGGATAAAGGTTCTATGGGGAAATGTTATCCGGGTATTTTTTTCCTATAGTAAAAGGAAATCCGGATAATTTTCTTTATATGAAAAAGTTATCCGCATCAATTTTTCTATAATGAAAAGTTATGCGAATAATATAGGGAGAATGGGAGAATTATTCAATAGGAAAAAGTTATCCGGATAATTTCGTCTATTGAAAAAAGTTATCTAGATAATGCTTTTTTTGGGAAAAGTTTTCCGGATATTTTTTCTATAGTGAAAATTTATTCGGATTGGAAAATTTAACCGGATATTTTTTTCTGTAGGAAAAAATGAAAAATATTCTCAAATCATTGTATTTTTTTTTTTTTTTTTTGTAATTTTTTCCGCCAATTTCCATTTCTCTTTTTTCAGTTTCCCCAATATTTTCATGTCCTCTCTAATTTTGTGGTCTCTAATTTGTGATTTGTTTTCTTCGACCTCTATGATAAGTTTCCATGATTTGCACATGTTTGTCCCTATTATACTTCTTTTTTTTCTGATGATGTTTTTAACAAATTTCTCATATGTTTGAATAGTTCTTCTAATTTTTGTTGTTGTTTTTGTTTTTCTTCCTCTAAGTAATAATAGTATAAATAAAGCTGTTGGTTTTCTTGATTTGTGTTTTATGTTGTTGTTGTCATGGTTTGCCCCTTCTGCTGCGCCTCTGGTCACATCTAATCTTACAATGTGCTTGCCTCCTTGTGCGGTATATTATTGAGACCCACATCGGGATTACGCCAATAATAGTTGGGAGGTCCTTGACTAAAGCAATATTTCATGTTCAGCGGTTCATCATTCTCCACATAGTACATCAGATAGAAGTTGCACATTTCATCGTTGTTGGTGGCGCTGGAAAAAGTATAAGGATTGGGAAGGATAAGATTAGAAAAAAAAAAAAAAAAACAAACTATAAACGACATGAGTGACATGTGATGAGTCGATTTTTTTTGATGATATTTTAGGAGAGGATTAAACTATCAAAAAACTATGTTCCTCTACTTGATATTTCCATAAATGCCTCCCTAAACCTACCCAATTTCCGTGACCCTGGTACGATGACTTTCCATGGTACATCTCGCCGCAATGAAATCACCCTTGACAATTGGCTCCTTATTCATGACAGGATAAAACATTTGTGGCGTTAGGGGATCACGTTTGCCCAACAGAGTCCAGTGATTCATGCCATGATCATCGCTGCGCACCCTATAACCCGAGACCACCTTTCCCAAACTGTGCGTATGGGTGCGATAGGCAATCGGATGTATGGTTTTATTTTCATTAATCTCACAGGCGGTCTCCATATGTTCCACAGACATGGGTGGTATAACACCGGCGGTACCCATCAGCAATACGCCAGCCAATTTGTTCATGCTAAAGGGAAAGGAAGAAGAAAATATTCCTTATTAAGAAATTATTTCAAATACATTTCAAAACTTACGGTTTCTCTGTGTAACGTATAAACACTCCCGAATCATCAGTGCTGCCATCTGTGGAGAATTATAGGAATTTGCTTCTTTATTGTTTTTTCTTTTTAATTCCATGAACCTTACCCTTAAACCTTGCTATACTGGCATAATGCACCTGCAAGACAATATATTTAATGGGCGAATCATAGCCCACCTTAAAGCCAACACCTTCAGGTAACTCCAGTTTGGGGGCATCTCTGGCCCAGGCATACAGTATCTGAAAAGATTTGAAAATTATATTTCCCGCTTAAATACGAGGTGAAAGTGTTTACCTGTGAATGGGATTGGACCCCACAAGGACTTGCTGTTTCTTCGGAAGACTTTTTGGCCATTTCACCACAATTCCTAAAATGGGGATAAAAAATATTTGAATTAGAAAATTCAAAGGCTATTTTATTTCTATATACGAGCTTTGGAGGCGCTTCAGAAGAATTTCAGAGGGTCTCACAGTTACAGAAGGCATTGATATAATATTCTGTGCATAAGGGTATTATGCACAGAATATTATATCAATATCTTCTGTAACTGTGAGACCCTCTGAAAGTCTTCTGAGAATAGTCTATATAAGGTCATATATACTAAAGGCCAAGGGCATTTCTGGAAATATGAGATTCGTCCAGTTACAACAAAACTTTTGGAAATGCTTTGGGGGAATTTCTTATCTAGAAGAGACTTAGATAAAGTCTTCCATCCTGAGAGGACTTGGAAGAAGTCTTCTATCTAGAGAAGACTTATATAAGATAGACCCTTAGAGACTCCACTATTTCTAAGCCTACATGAGAATATATTTTTAATAATTGAACCTTTGAAATGGACCTCTATAGGCTACATGTCATAGGAGGAAGTAACCATTACGAACTAAAAATACCAAAGTGTCGATCGCCTAGAGCAAGCGCTTCGACGGGAATGGGCCAAAATACCGCAGAGCAACATTCGGACAGCGTGTGACGGTTTTATTGGCCGTTTGAAGGACATAATTCGTCCCAAAGGTGACCAATTCGAACAAATCTAAACTTATTCTAAAATTTGATGCTATTATCGACATTTTTTGCTTTCATTCAATAGAATTTAAAAATTATGGCGTTTGACTTTGTTGAAGTTTTTATTATCTCACCCTGTATATAGGAGCGCTATAGCTATATCTGCGCCGATTTTCACCAAATTTGATCTACTTGCTTCTAGACTGAATTCGGTTGGATATGCCAAAGTTTAGGTAATTTAGACATATATTAGCTATTTGGTGCACAATAAAACCGAAATCGGTTGAAGACATATGGAAGCTACATCTAAATCTGTTCCGATTATCACCAATTTCAATAATGCCTTCAAAAACTTTAGAAATGCTTAAAATGATCCTCCATCTGCAAAAGAATGGAAAATAGTACTACATCGTCAAAACACCCCAACCAAGAGGAAAGCAATCAGCTATATGATCTTCGAATTGGTGCCTGGAGAATAGATCTAGAACTATGGGGAAGGCTATCACACTCTAAGAGAACTCAGGGTAATGAAGGAGGAGTTCCAGTAATAGCAAAACTTTTACGAAAACTTCCTTCGACAGCATTTTTCTTTTGAAGGCCCATAAAAGACCTGCCTTATGTCTCACATCCAAGGAAATAATTTAGAAGCTCCTCAATCTTTATCCTAAGAATACCGTACAATGTTTTCTACCAACGGAAGATCCCTAAATACTGGGTACTGGTTTATTAATTTAAATTCTTTAGAACTTCCTTTATTTTTGATCATTTTAAAGGATAAAAGATCTGAAGAAGTTTTTCTGTGAATGGAGGTCCATTGAAAGGGGTTCCTGTAATAGCAAAACTTTTTCGAAACTTCCTTCTACAAAGTTTTTTCGAAGTCCCGGAAAAGTCTTGCCCTATACTTTACATCGATGGAATATATTTAGAAGCTTCTCTATATAAAAAATCAATAACCTTTAAAGTACAATACACTTTCTTCTACCAATGAAAGGCCTTCCATTTTTTTTAGAAAATCGTCTATCTCTAGAAAGTCTTAAGCATGACTCTTCTTCTATTTCTAGCTCCTCTTAAGGGAGCATTTGCTCTATAGACAAATTCATTTAATTAGCAGAATACATTTTAAAAGGTCTATAGAAGATTTCAATACCTAAGGAACGTTCTCTTTTTTATAAAAATACATAGAATTTTTATAAAAGGCTTCAATAGTAGACAAATATTTACAAAACCTATGTTCACCATTGAAGCCTTTTAAAAGAATTTCTGTGTATAGAAAATCGATCTCAAATATGTGTTTATCCTTTCACTTGAAATCAACTAACCATACAGTTTTACTTGATCCAGGTTCACCGCATCCATATACCAGCATATGATGCGCCGTATTCATGGTAGCATTTGGTTCATAACCAACTGAAAAGGGAGAAAAGAATAATTTTAAATAAAGACTTTTCATTCAGATATCTCAGAATGCTTACCTATGTAATAGCTTTTCGTATAGTCCACTTTTATCGGTGTACAGAGATATAATTCAGGCTGTAAAAAAATCAAAAAATAAAAGAGATTAATAGTGAGGTTAAAAATTGGTAATAAAGAAAGTATTCAGAGTGCAAAATTTCAAAATTTGCAATGCGTTTTTAGAAGGACTTTTGGTTTTCTGTAAATATAGGTTCTTTTATTTTGGAATTATTTTATATTTAGTTACTTAAATATATTAATGGAAGCTCCTCAATATAGGTTGAATTTTTACATCATGCTAAAGCAATATAATTATATATTATTCTGACCTGAATTTATTTAATTAATTTTCTTCCTGTCCTTTGGGGGACTTATAAGTGCACCTTGAGAGGAATACGAAGTTTACAGAAAAAATCAAAATTTTTTGTTGATGAAAGGATAACTTTTATGTGTTTTTGGTGGTTCCTAAGAAACATGTTTAAACTTTTTTAGATTCATATCCAAAGTGTATTTTTTACAATTATATTTAATATTCCTACAGCATACTTTTAGGTGCTCTCAAAATTTTTAAAAAGGAAAAGCTATGGTATATAAATTATATATTGCACAAATAATATAAAACACGTATACTATAGTTATATTAAACATATCGTATAAATATGATAATTCGTTCTCTTTATTTTAGAAATTGTAGGGAGCGCCAAAAAGTATGCCATAAATATGTTAAATACTAATCTGAATATCTCTCTATGCAAATGACTAACATGAATGTAATGGAATGGGGAAATCTGAACTAAAAACAAGTAAAAGAGCAGTAAGTGCTGTCGGGCCGTACTTTAAATACCCTCCACAATTTGGAACCAATTTGGAAATTTTCAAAAAAAAATTTATTTAAAATTTCTGTTGAGATTTTAAAAATACCGAATATAGCCGTTATCTGTATGCATAGGCAATTTTTGTCATAAGCCATTACAATATTCAAATACGAAACTTGAAAACAAAATCCGGTGAATAATGTAGATAAAATCATCAAACTACCGAATATATGGAGGTAGGGAGGAGGTGTTATCGGGGCTATACGATGATATGAACCTGTATAGGCAAGTTTCTTTCGCAGGCTGTAGCACCTATTAGGAACTTCAAACACGAAAATGTTGTTGAATATTGTACCCAAAATTGTCCAAATACCAAATATAGGGAGGTACTGATGTATGGGGCCTAAATGAAGACCTGTGTAGGCAATTTTCTGGCATAGACTGTAGTTCCTATTATGAACTCTAAATACGAAATTGGAATTAACTCCGGTGTATAATGTCGCCAAAATCATCGAAATGCCGAATATTTGGAGGTTCCGTTATATAGAGGCTATACTAAGACGTGGACCTACATACGCATAGGCTGTAGTACCCATTACGAATTCTAAATACGAAATTTGAAATAACTCTGGTCAAAAATGTCGCTAAATTCATCAAAATACCGGATATACGGATTAATCGTTGTATGTGGGCTACACGATAACGTGGACCTATACTTCTCCAGGTGGTAAAGTGCTTAGAAAGAACTCCTTTTGTGGATTTTCAGACAATACCATTGACAAAATTTGACTAAAATCATCAAAATACCGAATATCGAGACGTACCTCTATATGGAGGATATACGATATCGTGAACTGCTATAGATAATACTCATCTGGGGGGTAAAGTACTCAGAAGGAACTACTCTTGTGGATTTTCAGAAAAATCCATTGACAAAATTTTGGCTAAAATCATCAAAATACCGAATATTGGGGCTATGGGAATATGTGAGGGCTATCGTGGACCGATATAGCCCATCTTCGAACTTGACCTGCCTGCAGACAAAAGACAGATCTGTGCAAAATTTTTGCTTCCTATCTTTATTAATTTTGACTCTAGCATGGTTACTTTTTTTATTATTTTGATGAAGTACATACTATGGTATGGTGGAGGGTATAACAAACTACTAACATTGCCTACGTTTAGGCGCTTGCAAAAAGATCATAATTGACCAAGAAACGATGGCAATGCACTAAACTTCATCCCTGTGACCTCTACCCAAATAAAAAGTTTTTCGATACCGAAATTCGATTTGCAGGAAATCGAGTTTTAAGTCCCCACCACATAATTTGAGTTTTAAATAAATGAATTATCACTGCAAATTGTTTTCCCCCCAAAACATCTCAAAAGAGCCACAGTTTCACCACAATTGCGACCTCTCATTATCGCCCCTTTAAAATAATTCATCATTGAGGCTGTACTGTATTAAGCAATCGACTTGACTTTATTTATTTTATTTTGTATTTTTGTTTTTTTTTTTTTTTTTCAAATAAACAAACAATTAAAACGACACTCGCTTCTATAGAAAAAATCACGATTTGTTGCAGACTCTGTGAATTAAAACAAATGAAAACAATCGTCTCAGTCGATAAGAACTAAATGGGAATTACCTCTCAAGACCAATGAAGTGAGAACGTGTCGACACGATGAATATTTTCATCATCAGATGGACATTGGGATGTATCGAGGGGGATAAATTAGTAATATTTTATTGATAATAAATATAATAATACTGATGGCCAATTTACATTTTTAATAATAAATACAAATATAAAAATATAATTATGATTATAATATCAACTTTTAATAAAAAAAAATATATTAATAATATGCTAGGGTTTGTAGAAATGAGCTGACTTTGTTTCGGAAATTCAAAGTGACTGAGATATCGGACAGAAAATTTTTCTAAGAAAAAAATTGTTAAAGTTCCCACTACAAATATTTGTATATTTAAAAAACGCTGATCAGAAATCAAAAAACAAAAATTGTAGATTTTTAAGATTTTTTTTCCATGGCCAAAATCGGTAGAGTTTTTAGTAAACGTTTTTATTTAGGAAAACTTGGTCTAAAGTTGCTGAGTTTTTCAGAATTTTGTATGAAAAATATCGTGGATTTTTTTAAAATACATTATTTAAGGACAAATATGAGTGGAGTTTTTTTAAGAAAATGTTTTCACAAAGTCCCTATGACCAAAGTCTTTGATTTTCTACAAAAACATTTTGAAAGACCAAAGGTCGTAGACTCTTTAAGAAAATATGTCAGAGACCAAAGGTCGTGGATTATTAAATAAGAATATTTCAATGTAGCGAACTCAATGGGACAAAAAGGGCAAAAAGGCTTTTTATGAAAACAAATTGCAAAAACCAAAATAAGTGGATTTAAATACTGGAAAAAAAAATTCCAAAGACCAAAAGCCATTTACTTTGAAGAAAAAATTATAGTAAAAGACCGATTGACCATTGCCTTCGATTTTGTTAAAAAAAAAATATCAAGAACCAAAATTCGTCCATTTTTAAGAACATTATTCGCAGCTTCAAAGAGTTGTGACTGTATCAGAAAAAAAATTCTAGGAAAAAAAGGTTTTTTAATTTAAAACAAGTAAGCAAAGGCTACAGTTGAGCGGGGCCGACCGTTGAATACCCTACAACACTATAATAAATGATACAGTTTATATAAGCCAGATACTCGAAAGAATTCCACAAGATATTGTGACAAAAAATAAAAGAAAACCATCAGGTTTCGTTCTCTAATTTTCGAATAATAGCACTTTAAACTAATTTGCTCATTTTCAATTTATTGGTAGATGTTGCACGTAAATGGTCTTCCTAGATCTGGAACCAATATTTCCCAAAGACCTATAATCTCTCAGAAGTGGCAAAAGATTAACATTTATTATTGGTTTTTGACTGAAACGCATCTATATGAGATATAGACATTTGACTATATTCTTCAACGAAATGCGCCTTAACGAAATAGTCAGAAGTGCGTCTTTCCTGTATTTGTGAATTCTCCAAAAAGTCACCGGAATGGACATTTTCGTATTTTGTCTACAAAAGTTGGCAAACTATTTCACACATTGAATATTTTTGGATGGCCATTCAAAACTGCTTGGCTTTTGCAATGTCCGGTAACCCCTATCCAAATGTGCGTGAGGATCGGGCAATAATTACGACCTGTTGACAAATTTTGCAGTTTTTTGGTCCATTTCAACCCCTAAATATATGGCGATCATCTCCAAAAAGAGTAGGCTTCTATTCTGACCCTCATCTTATCCCCATGCAAAATTTCGTAAGCATCGGGCCATAAATGCGATCTGTATATGATATTCTGATGTCAAAACTACTTAGTTTTGTTAGCTGTAGAAATATTACCAAATGTTTAATTCAAAATGAAAATATGCCAAAAAAAAAAAATATGACAAAATTGAAAAAATATGATATGAGATATTTTACAAAATCAATATTTTCATCTATAGAGAGATATTTTTATGCGATTTTTTTAGACGTTTTTTCTTTCCTGCCAAGAGGCCATTCTGAATTAATGAGAACTGTCGAAATCATTTCAGCCGTTCTCGACATATAAGGGATCTTTCAAGCATATCCTCTTTGATAGACATATATATCGCACATATTTTGCTATATATCCGATTTGTTGGATGTTAACATCAATGTAAAGATCAGAAGTAGCCTTGTCATGGCTTTGTGATCTAGCCGGGATTTAAAATATTCGCGGTTTAATGAAAAATTTTGAATTTTTTCAACACAAAAGATATGGTCTATTTTACCCGCTAAATATTATCCGATGACCACCCAAATTGGTAGGCTTCTTCCCTGCCCTAAACTCTAGCTACATGCGAAATTCCGCGTCAATTGGTCTATAATTGCGACCTGAATAGCTACTGCAAAATCCGATATTTTTTCAGTATTTGGTCCATTTCAACCCCTAAACATTTGGCGATCATCTCCAAAAGATATAGGGTTCTATTCTGACCTCAACCCCACCTACTTTCTAAATTTCGTGAAGATCGGGCCATAATTGCGACCTGTAGAGTGATTACAAATTAACATGGACAGACGGACAGACGGACATACATAGCTAGATCGACTCAGCTCGGCGAGCTAGGATGATCCATATATACTTTCCTATGTGGGAAACCAATATTTCGTGGTGTTACATAATTTTTGGCCCAATCAAACTTATAATACCCCCAACACATAGTGTTGTAGGGTATAAAAACATTTTTTTGAAGACCTGGTAGACTCAAATTTCCTGAATTCAAAAAAAAAACAACTCTTTACATGATTACAATTACTCTATTTTTTTTCTTTACTTTTACTGGCTAAAATTCGTGGACCTCCCGACAATCAATAATGATTTTTTTTTTTTGCCACAAATATTGATTTTATATTTATTAATTTAAGTCTTACTTTTTTTAGGGATCTCACAACCAAACACAGGGACCTTCTGATAAAAACTTATAGATATTGTGAGAATATTTTAAATATTCTTGGCCAAATAAAAAACTTCTGAAAAACATTGTGACTAATTTTATATTTTTCAATGATCATCTTTTCAAATACATTGGATTTTTCAAGGACTTTGGGACCAAAATCAAGGAAAAAAGTATAGTAGATTTTTTTCCGTTATACATTTCCTTGACAAAAATCCTGAATATTTTTCAAGCCTCCTGACCAAATGCAGCCTCCATTTTGGTCAGGACCACCTGCCAAAAAAATGGATTTTTTTAATGATTCAAAAATTTCCTGTTGGATTTTTAAGATTTTTTTCAAGGACCTCCTAACCAAAAATCGTGGATTTAAAAAATTCTGGCAAAAATTTTTGGATTTTTGTTCAAATATCTTAGATTTTTCAAAGACAATTTTTTTTTTTAAATGAATTTTTTTTAGGAAAGTTAAATACATTTCCTTTGCAAAAATCGGGGTATAGATTTTTAAAATTCTAACCAAAATTGTAGATTTCTTGAAGAACATTTTGCAAGGACCTCCTGCCCCAAAAACATATGTTTTCTACGAAATTGTTTATCGACACTTTTGATCAAAATTAGTGTTTTTAATAATTTTTTTGAAGAACCTATTGGTAAAAATCTCAGATTTTTAAGGAAACATGACCAAAAAATGTGGATTTTTAAAAATTCAAAGATGTGTATCAAAGATGAGTATTGAAAAATCGAGGACTTTTTAAAATTTTTTTAAGGACTTTCTGACAAAAAAACCTTTGATCAAACCAAGTGGATCTTTATAAATATTTTAAAAATTTCCAAAAATAGTACATTTTTCAAGGACCTCCTGATCAAAACTCGTGGATTTTTTACAAAAATATCAACGCAAAAAATTTGTTGTTAAGGACTTTTTGGCAGAAAAGCAAGGAGTAAAAGTTAAGATGTATTTAAAAACCAGTTAAAAAGTTCCAGTCGGTTTTGCCGACAGATGCGTGCCCGCAGCCGGTTTATATAAATATGTGATAATTTTTAGAAAATACATATATATATCCGATTTTATTTTATTTTATGGTATTGGAAGTTGTGACTCTTTGTGGGTGAGGTACCGGAAGTGGTGGACCGACATATCCCATCTTCATAGCAGACCTTGTGTTAGTAGAAATAATGGGATGTGTGAAATATGAAGAGAACCGGATGCTTATATCGGATTTTATAAACGTTTTGGTTATTCAAAATTTTGACTCTTTGTGGGGGAGGCACCAGAAGGAATTGTCCGATCTCACCGTCTTTATAGATGACGGATGCTGTGTTGATTGAAATATTAAGATGAGCCAAATCTAAATTGATTCGGATTTTAATTTCCCGTTTTATGATCTTAATGGATATTCAAAATGTCGACCTTTTGTGCGGGGGGGGGGGGGGGGGGGGGGGTGTTGTACCAGGAGTGTACCAGATATATTCCATCTTAACACCTGACCTTGGGTTAATATAAATATTGGGATGTGTGAAATTTGAAGAGAATCGGACTCTTACATCACAAAATGTTGACCCTTTGTGGGGAGGTTCTTAATGGAGTGGACCGATATTGTCCATTTTCACACCTCACATAGCATTGACGCAAATATTACGATTTGCAAAGTTGGAGCAAAATTGGATTATCCTTTCTCTTTCTGTGCAAAAGATATATATTTTTGAAAACATTCGACCATTTGTGTGGGATGTATCAGAAGGAGTGGACCGACATTTCCCATCTCCGAACTCGATATAAGTTTGCCAAAAATATTACGATGTACTAACTTTGAACCAAATCGGATACTCCGTTCGAGAGTTATCGTGCGCACCAGCCATACAGACAGGCAGACGGACGGATGGATATCGCTAGATCGACTCTAGATGTTCTGAAACGGATTTGGTCCAAAGAGACCTAGGGTCCAAGACCGTTTTTTCGATTAGGTACTTTTGGCCGTATCAAATGATATATACCTTCTGTTGCCATATGGCTGAGGGTAAAATAAAGGATTTTTAAAACATTGTTCGAAGGAGCTCCTTGCAGAAATTCTTGGCGTTTTTCAGCACTTCTTAACCACAACTCGTGAGTCTGATGTTTGTGACTTTTGAAAATCCTGACTTTTTTATAAAAATTATGTGTCCAAGGACTTCTTGCGTGAGGCAGGGGTTATTCAAGAGCCTTTTGATCGCATATGGTATGATTATAGCTTGTACGCAAATCGACTGATACTTCCTTAATTGTATTTTTGTTTTTTTTTTAGCAAAAATTAAAAAACAAAATTCTAATGCAATTCCTTTTTCGATACGACCTAATGTCGTCTCATCAACTTACATTTGTACATGGTTAGCAATAAAAACAATTTGTATTTTTAAACTAAAAATCAAGACGACGATTTGTGATGCGTTTGCATTTGAAAAAAATCTTTAAATTATAATTATTATTTAATTGCCAATAAAATTAAAAATAATGTTTTCGAACATTAAAACCAAAATTCTAAATTTGAAAAAAAAGGAATCACTTGGTCTGCGAGAGGGGTGAAGCGAGTAAGAAAACAACTCAAACACATCACAAAACGGGATACAGACACAATTCATGGATGGCTACAATAAATCCAAACAGGTACCAAAAAAAAAAGAAAACGAATGTGTGGGTTTCCCAAAAGGCGGCAAGGAGATGCCAGAACATGTTCACATCCAGGGGTATTTGAATAAACTGAAAGTGTCTACGTGTGTTTGGGCTTGTTAACCGGGTATTTTATGGATACAAGAACAACAATACACACTTCAGTAATGGAAAACACTTGACTGATAGCTTGGCTGGCGTATTGTCAATAAAAGCAAAAAACATGAAAAAAACACAACTGAAGTTCGGATAATAAGTAGATAACCAGCTGTTTAAGTATTTGCCTACGTGGGTTATTGTGGATTATGCCCTGATTCTATTGGAAAAACTGCCACCTGTTAGGTATTCCATTTCCATTGAAGGCAGACAGGCAGGCCGACAGCCTACATGAAGCAGTAAATAATTGCAAAAGCAGATTTGCTTGCGAGGGCTATGAGGGGGTGAGTGGCAGCTTGTGGGTGGCCAAATATGAGCCATATTGCGCGCCTACTGCATATCCCTGCAAATTAAACATATAAATGTGTGGGTTTTTGCCTCTTGGGTGGGGATGGGCATTGGGAGTGGGTGGTGGTGGTGGTGGTGCCAACTTACCGTTTTTGGCCGCACATTTGGCATTAGAAAGGGAAATCTTCCCACTTCATGATTTTGCTGCTCCCTGATTTGTTCATTGTAAACCGAATTGTATTCGTCGTCATCCAAGATGCCATATGCTGGCTGCCAACAACTGGCGGCCAAGACCATCATTAAAGCTGTTAACACTTGTAGCCTCCGTGGAGTGGCAGCCATCCCTGAGTAGACTGACATTGTGACGTTGGATTTCTTTGCTTTTGTGTATTCCAAAACGGGGGGATTTTTCTTTTTTTGTTGTTCAGTAATTTACAATATTTTAGTATTTGTTTAATTTTATACAATTTAACACTTTGTTGTTGCTGCTTTTTTGTGGCTCTTATTATCGGCTTAAACCTTAACTTTGTTGTATTGGCATTTGTTTAATTAGTATTTTGTTTCTTCCAGTTTTTTTCTATGTAAAATTGACACTGTGTTTTTTTTTTTGGTAATTTGTTGTTGCTTGCTCTCTTCGGCTCTTTGAGTGAAGTGCGCGAAAAAATTTTCCACAAAATACAATAGGTATTTATAACAAAATTTACAAATAATAATAATAACAAACAACCCGAAATCTTTTCTTGATATTTTTATTTAATTTTTTCTCCGTTCTATTGTGTGCAATGCGTTACTAAATGTTTTTTTCCAGCCTTCCGATGGTGGTGGTTGTGGTCGTCGTCGTTCGTTGAATTGTTTTGTTGTGTATTAATTCTCAGAGTTATGCATGAGCTCAGAACCGACCGACCAAGTGTCAAAAAAGATAACCAACCAACCAAACAAGATGCTTAGTGGAAACACAACGAGAAATGAAATCATGGTGGAACAGTGTAAACATGAAACACCAGCAAACAACACAAATCCATGCCTACGCATACCAATAACACAGCTAACGAACGAAGGCTTAGCCAACACCACATTTGCCCAACAACAAAACACCCCAATTCTCTCTTTCTTTATGTCTCCCATTGTTTGGCATTGCTTAGAGCATCTCTGGCTAATATGTTACGGTTATTTGGCACAATCAACCTGTTATGTTATGTTGTTTTTATATGTGTGAGACAGAAAGTGAGAGAGAGAGCGCGTTTTATGCGGCCTACCCCAACTCACCACTTATTGTTGGTCTCTTGTGTGTACTCTTAATGAACAATGCAAACAGCTGTTGTCCATGGAATGGCATTTTTTATATCCGTTTCCCTTATATTGTTGCATTCCTATGGTATTGTTGGGGGAAAATGGAACAATTAGAGAAACAAAAATGGAAACAAAGTGGATAATAACTCATTGTAATTGATAGATAAATACATAAAAAGGGAAACTTATCTATGGCAGGAATGGGAAATTTGAATATGTTATAAAAAATTCGATAATGCTTCGAAAAATAATTTTAAAAATAACAAAAAAAAAAATCAAGTACTTAAAATAATTTTAAAAAGAGAGGGGTCATTAGTAGAATTTAGAAGGTAAATTTATGCAATCATATGTTTAAATTTTTTTCAAAATTATTCATTATCAAAATGTATATTTCTAAATCCATTGTGTATACACAAATCAGAGATGGGAACCTGTTTTCTAGGTAATTTACGGATAATGCAGAGATGGATATGGCTATTTTAAATGGCTGTACTTTCTTAATTTTACAATGGCATGGCAAAATTAAAATTATGAAGGTAAAGTCATTTCAAATAAGACTATCCATCTCTGTATTTTCTGTAACGGAAGCGATATTATTCACCGGAATTGTTTCAAATTTCGCATTTGAAGTTCCTAATAGGTACTATAGCCTGTGACAGAAAATCTCCGAGGCAGGTCCAGGTCTTCGTATAACCCTCAAATAACGGTTCCTCCCTGTATTCGGTATTTTGCAGATTGCAGCGACATTATTCACCGAAATGGTTTCAAATTTCGTATTTGGACGTAGTAATGGCTACTACAGCCTGGAAAATTTTATCTGCAGGTCCAGGTTTTCGCATAGCTCCCATATATTGATATCTCCCTATATTCGGTATTTTGATAATTTTAGCAATATAATTCACCGGAATTGTTTCAAATTTCGTATTTAAAGTTTCTGATAGGTACTGTAGCCTGTAACATAAAATTTTCGTGGCAGGTCCAGGTCTTCTTATAACCCCCATATAACGGCTCCTCCCTGTATTCGGTATATTGCTGATTTCAACGACGTTATTCACCGGAAATGGTTTCAAATTTCGTATTTGCACGTAGTTATGGGTACTAAAGCCTGTGACAGACAATTGCCGTGGAAGGTCCTCGTCTTCGTATAGCCCTTATATATCGATATCTCCCCATATTCGGTATTTTGATGATTTAAGCAATACAATTCACTGGAATTGTTTCAAATTTCCTAATAGGTACTATAGCCTGTGACAGAAAATTGCAGAGGCAGGTCCAGGTCTTCGTATAACCCCCATATAACGGTTCATCCCTGTATTCGGTATTTTGCCGATTTCAGTGACATTATTCACAGGAATTGTTACAAATTTCGCATTTGCACTTCCATCTGCGAACTCGTAACAAATCGAGTTCGGAGATGGGCAATATCAGTCCACTTCTTCTGGTACCTTCTAATGATTTTAAGAGAATTGTTAACGGATTTTTTTGAACATTTCCAAATTAGATCAATTTTTTAAGTTCGGACCGGCTAAACTTACTGCTTTTTTTACTTGTTTTTATACCCTCTGCCATAAGGCTAGAGCCTCATCGAAATAACGGTTTTAGACCCTAGGACTCTTTGCACCAAATCCGTTTCAGGACATTTGGGGTCGATCTAGCGATATCCGTCCGTACGTCTATCTAATCCGGTTTGGTCCAAAATTGGTACATCGTAATATTATTATCAAACTTAGATCGAGTTCGGAGATGGACAATATCGGTCCACTCCTTCTGGTACCTCCCTCACATAAAATGTCAAAATTTTCAAAGAAAAAAATTTACTGCATAATAAGATAAAGGATAATCCGAATTTGCTCCAGCTTGGCAAATCCTGATATTTGTCAGGTGCGATGATGGGCAATACCGGTCCACTCCATCAAGTATCTTCCCCGCAAAGGGTCAAAATTTGGAATAAATATAACTCTTATAAAATGTGATGAAACAGTCCGATTGGCTTCAAATCACACACATCACAATATTTTTATGAACCCAAGGTCTGGTGTGAAGATGGAATATATCGGACCACTCCTTCTGGTACCTCCCCCACAAAGGGTCAGCATTTGGAATGTTCATGAAGCTCATAAAACACGAAATTAACATCCGATTTCATTCAGACCTGGCACATCTCAATATTTCCATCAACACAAGATCTGTTACAACGATGATAGAGATCAGGCCATTCGTTCGGGTACCTCCCCCACAAAGGGTCAAAGTTTGGAATAATCAAAACGATCATAAAATTCGAAATAAGCATTCGGTTCTCTTCAAATGACACACATCAGATTATTTAAACTAACTCAAGATCTGTTATAAAGATGGTAGAGATCGGACCATTTCTTCTGGCACCTTCCCCACAAAGGGTCAACATTTTGAATAGTCATGAAGATCATACATCACGAAATTAAAATCCGATTCAATTTAGACTTGGTACATCTCAATATTTCCTTTAACACAAGATCTTTTGTAAATTTAGTAGAGATCGGACTATTTCTTCTGGTACCTCTCCCACATAGGGTTCAAGATTTTGAAATACAAAACGCTCAAAAAAATCGAAATAAGCGTCGAAGTCCATTTAAATTTCACACATACAAACATTTTTGCTAACACAAGATATAGCTGCGAACCTCTTCTGGTACCTCACCCACAAAGTCTCACAATTTTCTATTCTTTTCACATATAAAGTGAAGAAAGTAGCCAAGATAGTCGAAACTTGGCACGTCCCAATATTTATATCATATTTATTTAGGTCCGATACGAAATGGACAATATTGGACCATTCCTTCGGAACCTACTCCATAGAGTAGTCAACAATTTAAATATTAAATAACAGAAGTGAAAATATATTTAAATAATCGAAAATCGGCTGAGAGTATACATCTGCCGGCAGAATCGACATACACTTTTTAATTTGCTTAAAATATTTTTAATATCTGTATTTTAGGAAAATATTTAAAAAAATCAAAACACCCCAAATGTATTATTTCTTTTTTTTTTTTTTTTTAAATAAATATTTATTAAATAAATTAAATATACAATTTAAATTGTGTTTCCTTGTTTATAAATAATTTAATTTGATTTAATTGTTTAATTTTTTTTTTTTTCATTAATTTTCTTAAACAAAAATTGTCATACCAATATTTTAAAATATCTGTTAACAAGATGTTTTTTTTTATTTTAAATTCATTTAAAGCTTGGCTTTAACAAAACAAAAACAAAAGAAGAGAGTAATTTGTTCTATACAAAGTGTTGAGTTGATGATTTAGTTGTGTTGCCTCCACGCCTAAAACAAGGGAGGTTCACATGTTAACATTAGTTGTATGATGTGTTTTAGTTTCAGTTGTTTCATTTCCATATGTTTCCGCTGTGGGCGATAGAGAAATGTTCGTTTCGTTTGAAAAATGTGGGCGAGTGGATGGATGATTAGCGAACTTGTTGTTGGTGTGAATTTGGGTCGTTGAGAAATGGTTCTTTGAGATATTCTTCGTCGGGATGCCTCCAATTCGACAATTGCTCCAGAAAATCCAATTGTTTTAGTTAGTTGTAAAAGTATTAATTAGTTTTTGTTGTTTGTGTTGTTGTTGTAATTATAAATTAAATATTAAAGAAGTTAATGCATTTAGTAGGTGGTGAACAGTTCTTCCTGTATGCTATTGGATCGAAGCAGTTGCGATGGAGTGGGTCCACCCTGGATGGAGGCAAGTTTGGGAGAGGCGCTGGAAGACTTTTGTGAATGATATTCATCGGAGAACTCCTTGAGACGATTGCCCAGGAAGTGTGCTCTCTCGCGTTTCTTGACCATGTAGTCGGAGGACATGAGCCATCTGTGTTCCTGACAGTCTTCGGTGTATGGACGTTTGCTGGAGAGAGAGAGAGAAAGAGAGGGGAGAGAGAAAGAGAAAAGTTTGGTTAATGTAATGTATCTGAAAAGCAAAGCAAATGGATAATGTATCTACATTGCCAAAATGTATCTACGTTAAGTAAATAACGTGAATAATGTATCTACGTTATCTAAACTGTACCGATAATGTATCTACGTTATCCAAATAACGTGGACAATGTATCTACGTTATCCAGAGAGTGTGGATATTGTATGTACGTTATCCAAATTGTACGGATTATGTATCTACGTAATCAAAATAACGTGAATAAAGTATATACGTTAGCCAAATAACTTGGATAAAGTATCTAAGTTAACAAGTTAACAATGTATCTATGTTATCCAAACAACGTGGGCAAAGCATCTACGTTATCCAGAGAGTGTGGATAATGTATCTACGTTGTCCAAATATTGAGGATAATGTATCTACGTAATCCAAATACATGGATAATGTATTTACGTTATCCAAATTGTATGGATAATGTATCTACGTAATCAAAATAACGTGGATAAAGTATCTACGTTAGCCAAATAACTTGGATAATGTATCTACGTTATCCAAACTGTACGGATAATGTATCTACGTAATCAAAATAACGTGGATAATGTATCTACGTTGGCCGAATAACTTGGATGATGTATCTACGTTATCCAGAGAGTATGGATAATGTATCTACGTTATCCAAATATTGAGGATAATGTATCTACGTAATTCAAATACATGGATAATGTATCTACGTTATCCAAATGGTGTGGATAATGTATCTACGTTATCCAAACAGTGCGGATAATGTATCTACGTTATCCAAATAACTTGGATAACGTATCTACGTTGTCCAAATATTGAGGATAATGTATCTACGTAATCCAAATACATGGATAATGTATTTACGTTATCCAAATTGTACGGATAATGTATCTACGTTTGGTAAATAACTTGGATGATGTATCTACGTTATCCAAATAACTTGGATAAAGTATCTACGTTAACCAAATAACAAGAATAATGTATCTACGTTATCCAGAGAGTGTGGATAATGTATCTACGTTATCCAAATATTGAGGATAATGTATCTACGTAATCCAAATGGTGTGGATAATGTATCTGCGTTATCCAAACAGTACGGATAATGTATCTACGTTATCCAAATAACTTGGATAACGTATCTACGTTGTCCAAATATTGAGGATAATGTATCTACGTAATCCAAATATATGGATAATGTATTTACGTTATCTAAATTGTACGGATAATGTATCTAAGTAATCAAAATAACGTGGATAATGTATCTACGTTAGCTAAATAACTTGGATAATGTATCTACGTTATCCAAATAATGTGTAAAATGTATTTGCAACGGTGTATAGTACATCTAAGAATCCTAACAATACGGACAATATATCTAAGTTATCTTTTAGCGTAGATACATATTTTAACAAAGCGGATAATTTATCGAAATTATCCAAAATTCAGTAGCAGTCTATCTACTTCACCAGAATAACTTAGATTATCGACTTTATCATGGTATTTTTTTATTATCTCCTCCGATTTCCCCGCCCAACTTACTGTGGCTGACGTTTGAACAGGAACATTATAAATCTGGTCGCCTCCGGTGTTACCTCACTGAAGAGATTCTCAAATCTATAACGGACATAGGCAATATTCTGTTTCGTCTCGTGTTCATCGACACCGCGGAAGGGACTGGTACCGGACAGCAGCAAATAGGTGAGAACACCCACTGACCAAATATCCGTTTGTGGGAATACTGGTTCCTCCATTACCATTTCGGGAGCTTGGAAGTCCAAATTGCCGCAAGGACTAACTTGGACGCCCAGCTTATTGACACGCTTGGTGCAACCGAAATCGATCAGTTTAATTTGAACCGAACGCACCGAAGCCATAACAACATTGTCGGGTTGAATATTCAAATGGGCATAGCCACGCCAGTGCAAATATTGCAAAGCATCCAACAGCTGGAAGATAACGGTGGCCACCATTTGTTCGGTGTACTGGTGGCGACTGCTGAAATAGGTCAGGACATCGGCACCCTGCAACTTCTCCATGATGAAAATGGCAATGGGCACATTCAGGGGTTTGTAGGCTGCAAACAAGGCGGGGATGCGTTCGTGTCTCAGGGTCTTGAAATTGTCGAATTCCGCAACGATATCTTCCTCGTTCTGGTCGGTGATTTCAAAGATCTTGGCCACGACAACGGCATCACTGGACTTCTGGATACCCTTGACAATGGTGGAGAATTCTCCGCGGGCAATTTCCGAAATAAAGCTATACTTCTCGTTGACCGAATGATCGGTGACCCAGTTGGGTGGTTCACGTTCACAGTGGTAGTCGGTGTGGACGCGCTCCTCTTCGGGCACCACTTCATGGCCACTTTCCGTCATTTGTTGCAGGTGTTTCATGGCCTTGGTAATGTGGATCTTGGCGGCATCGTGGCCACCGGTGGAGGCAGAAATCGGTATGCCCATGTCACTCCAACCAATGCGGTTCCTGGAGGCCAGACGGAACTGGTACTGGGTATTCGGCTGCAAGTCGTGCACCAAATAGAACTCGTGATCAATGTTGTCGGCAATGGTGGTCCAGGCGTCGGCATCAGCTCGTTTGTATTGCAAACTGTAGCATAGAACAGAGGTGTGGCCATCATCACGTGGTTGTTTCCAACGCAACAGAATCTCGGTGGCGCTGACCGCAGAAATTTCAGGCGAATCTGGAGCATCGGGCAACGTGGCAATGACGACACGACATCTAGCTACAGTCTGGCCAACCTTATTGCGAGCTACGCACTTGTAGACGCCAACATCGAACTGCATGGCAGGCTCGAAGCGCAGAATGGAACGGCCATCCTCGTCGGTGTGGAACTTGATGCGGCTGCTCTCGATCAGAACCATGTCATTCTTGAACCACTGGACATTGGGTTTGGGATCGCCGACGGCAAAGCAATGGACATGGGCGGGTTGACCCTCGGTAATGGCCAACGACTGGGGTTTCTCTCTAAAGAATGGTGGATAGCCTTCACGCTTCGACGACATCATGGCCTCAGCCTCGGTATATTCATCGAGACGAGGACCCAACTCGGTACGCAGACGGCGAATGGTATAGCTGTCCTGGGCGGAATACATGCTAATGCGACTGCGGGTACGTTCATCATCGATTTCTTCGTCCATGATATCGGTGAAACGACGACGTTCACGAATAATTGGCAAGGACCAATCCAAGCTTTCGTTGGCTGCGAAAGATGGTGATCGGCGGTGGGCCACCTTCATGTATTCACGCAAGCGTACCGGGAAGCTAACATCACGTAGCTGCAGCAAATAGGTATCGGGACCATATTGATAGCTATGGGAGAGGAGAGAGAAGTAAGAGAGAGGGAGACAATTTAATAAAATATTGAAATATTTTAGATTACGGCCGAAAAAGCGATCAAAGCTTCCGTCGGCCTTGACCGACTTCTGTAAACCTCTGAACTCAAGAATCGCTTAGGGGATAAAGTGAAAAATGTATCTACACTATCCTATTGACGTGGATAATGTATCTACACTATCCAATCGAGGTGAATAATGTATCTGCACCATCCAATGGACGTGAATAATGTATCTACGCTATCCAATCGACGTGGATAATGTATCTACACCATCCTATCGACGTGGATAATGTATCTACACCATCCAGACGACGTGAAAAATGTATCTACACCATCCAGTCGAAGTGAAAAATGTATCTACACTATCCTATTGAAGTGGATAATGTATCTACACTATCCAATCGGGGTGAATAATGTATCTACACTATCCAATCGGGGTGAATAATGTATCTATACCATCCAATGGGAGTGAATAATGTATCTACGCTATTCAATCGACGTGGATAATGTATCTACACCATCCAGTCGAAGTGAAAAATGTATCTACACCATCCTATCGAGGTGAATAATGTATCTACACTATCCAATCGACGTGGATAATGTATCTACACCATCCTATCGACGTGGATAATGTATCTACACCATCCAGACGACGTGAAAAATGTATCTACACCATCCAGTCGAAGTGAAAAATGTATCTACACTATCCTATTGAAGTGGATAATGTATCTACACTATCCAATCGGGGTGCATAATGTATCTACACCATCCAATGGGAGTGAATAATGTATCTACGCTATTCAATCGACGTGGATAATGTATCTACACCATCCAGTCGAAGTGAAAAATGTATCTACACCATCCAGTCGAAGTGAAAAATGTATCTACACTATCCTATTGAAGTGGATAATGTATCTACACTATGCAATCGGGGTGCATAATGTATCTACACCATCCAATGGGAGTGAATAATGTATCTACGCTATTCAATCGACGTGGATAATGTATCTACACCATCCAGTCGAAGTGAAAAATGTATCTACACCATCCAGTCGAAGTGAAAATTGTATCTACACTATCCAATCGACGTGGATAATGTATCTACACTATCCAAACATTATCTACACTATGAATACATTATCAAATCGACGTGGAAAATGTGTCTGCATTATCCAGTCGACGTAAAAAATGTATCTACATTATTCAGTCGACGTGAAAATTGTATCTCAATCGCCCAATTTAATGAACCGCAACATTTCTTCCCTGAGTTAAGAGTTCTCGCATTGTCCCCCAAAAGCATTGCAAAGCCAAAAACAAAACAAATTAAATAACTGCCAAAAGCTGTAGCAAAAGCGCCTGCAACTCCGCCTTCTGCCCTCTCTGAAGACCTCTTCCCAAATACTTACTGACTCTCCGATTGTATAATACCCAATTCATAATCTGGATGCAAGAATTTCGAATAGGTTTCAACACGTTTGGTGCGAACACGAGGTTCGGGTGTACGTTCGGGTGTTGCCTCCGGCGTGTAGACCAATCCAGGTGGATAGACCATTTTCGAGGGATGAGTCCAGCAACCGCTCAAACGACGACGGCGGAAGTAATGCTTGCACGAGGCATTGGCATACCAGTCACGGAAGTCGTTGTAATAATTCCTCAGACGATCGGTGTTAATGCGATACTCATCGTCGGATACCTTGCGGTCCAACATAAAGAACCAGGGATGTCTGAGAGCGGTCTTGACATCCATACGCTCCTCGGGACTGTAGACCAGGAGACGTTTAATGAAATCACGGCCATCATCGGAGATGTGAGTCCAAATGGAATCGCTGAAATCCCAATGGCCTTCCTTGATTCGTTGCAAAGTTTCGCGGTCATTGGCGCCACGGAAGGGATTGTGGCCGGAGAGTAGGACATAGGTGATGAGACCCACAGTCCACATGTCGTGGGAGAAGCTAACACCTTCCTTGTTTACAACTTCGGGGGAGACATATTCAGGCATGCCATAGTCCAGGGTGGTCAAGGCATGGGTGTGGATGCGTCTAGCCAAACCAAAATCGGAGATTTTCAGGAAATCTCCGCCCACCACAGAGATGAGGAGGTCCTTGATCTGAAGGAAGAGCAAAAATATTAAACTATGGAAATAGGTTATGAAGAGCCTTAAAACTCACCGTCAAACCCATGTGGCCAACTCCGTTCTCATGCATGTGCTCCAGACCCCACAAAACTTGTCTAATGTAGTTGGCAATATCTCTCTCACGGTAGTAGTCGCGTCTCAACAAATTATCTCTGACCAATTCACCACCAGCTGCCAATTCCATGATCAGCGTGACATTACGCTCCGTATCGTAGGCATCATGCAAGCGGATCAAGTTCTTGTGATTCAACATGTTCATCATTTCCAGTTCGTTCAACATGAATGGTCTGATCTCCGACTTGCCGTACATGATCTTGGCGGCATAGTTGTCACCGGTTGCTCTCTCCACAGCGTGATAGGTAATACCCTGAGTACCACGACCCAATTCATCGCCAATATCGTATTTATCTTCGAAACGGAAGTTCTTCGGGCGGACATAAGGATGACGGCCATAGGTATTGAAGATATACTGATCCTCATTATCCTCAATGTGCACCATAACGGAGGAGCTGACACTGCCGGCAATGTTGCGGGCACTGATCGAATAGAGACCACCATCCTTGAGGATGCAATCGCTCAGGGACAAAATATAGACATTGGGTTCAATGAAACGCATCTTGATGCGTGTGGTCTCGGCCAATGGTTGCCAGTCCTTGTACCAACGGATCTCTGGATGGGGAATGCCCACAACATGGGCCTCAATGCGGCCATTCTTGCGCGACATGATAAAGGTTTCCTCTGGGCGTTTGGTGAAGCGAGGATACTCGGCGATTTCCAGGCGCACCCTTTGGCGGGCCTCACCATGTTCGTTGGTGGCCACGGCTTCATACCAGCCAACATCACGATCCAACATCCTACAGGAAATATAAAATAGTTATTATTACCTACGTAAGCACCCTCTCCCATCTAACCTGCTTTACTTACTTATTAATAAACAACGTGGCCTGGCCATTACGCGTGTAACTGTAATCGAAACGGCCGCCGGGCTCAATAAGCATATCATCGAAATAGTAGGTCATCTTGGGCTTGGGATAACCATAAACAAACCACATCAATTCGGCATTGTGTCCCTTCACACCATAGCTGACATCGTTTTCGCGACGCAAGAACTGTGGAGCCTGAGCCATACCATCATGCGGTGGACACTCAATGTCAAAGTCCTTGGGGAAGTAGGGTGAAGTTTCGGGCCTGAAATCTACACCAGGAGCCAAGTATGTGTATGTCTTTGGTGGTTCTGGCACCAGTTTCGATCTATATGTCTGTATATATGGACTGGGATCACTAACGCCGAACTTATTTTCCACACGCACACGGAAACGATAGTCCCTAAAGGGTTCCAAATCGCCAACGTTGCAGGCACAGCTACGCACACCAGTGCGAATGGTACGCCAGTCACCATCGGGCAAATTCAACATTTCCACTTGATAGGTGACGGGATAACGTGGCATATTCGGTACCGATGGTTTCCACGCCAATTGCAAATAACGATCGGTCATCTTGAGAATGACGGGGGCATCGGGCAGTGGGTTGGGCACACCAGTGTGTTTGTATTTCTTATAATCGCGATACTGATCGGCAATGGCACCTTGCAGCGGGCTATCAACGGCTGTTGTAAGGGGAGAAAAGTGAAGGGCATTAATGAGAAATTGGACAATGTGTTCACTAGGTTTAAATAGTTCAGATAACTTGGGTAATGGCTATATATTGCTTGAATAAGGGGGGTAGTGGTCATACATAATAATTATAAAGTAGATAATAGTTATACATAGTTCGGATAACGTGGATAATGGTTCAAAATAGTTTGGATAATGGTTTTACACACTTTGGATAATGTGGATAAACGTTAAACATAATTCGAATAAGGTGGATAATGATTATATATACTTTGGATAATGTGAATAAAGATTATCTATAATTCGGATAACGTGGTTATACATGATTCGGATAACATGGATAATGGTTCTACATACTTTGGAAAACGTGGATAATTGTTATACATTAGTCGGATAATGTGGATAACGGTTATACATAATTCGGATAACGCGGATAATAGTTAGACATTATTTGGATAACGCAGATAATGGCTAAACTGGTTATACATAGTTCGGATAACGCGGATAATGGCTAAACATACTTTGGATAATGTATTTAATGGTTTATACATACTTCGGATAATGTGAATAATATTATTCATGGTTTGGATAACGCGGATAATGGTTATACAGACTTTGGATAATGCGGATAATGGTTATACATAGTTTGGATGATGTGGATAGTGGTTATACATAATTCGAATAACGCGGATAATGATGGTACATAGTTCGGATAGTGTGCATAGTGGTTATACATAATTCGGATAACGCGGATAATGGTTATACATAGTTTTGATAGCGCGGATAATGGTCATACATAGTTTGGATAACGCGGATAATGGCTAATCATACCTTGGTTAATGTATATAATGGTTTATACATAATTCGGATAACGCGGATAACGATTATACGTAGTTAAGATAACGTGGATAATGGTGATCCATAATTCGGATAACATGAATAATGGTTTTACATAATTCAGATAACGTGGATAATCGTTATACATAATTCGGATAATGTGGATAATGGTTATACATAATTCTGATGACGCGGATAATGGTTATACATAGTTTGGATAATGTGGATAATGGTTAGACATAATTCGGATAACGCGGATAATGGCTAAACATACGTTGGATAATGTATATAATGGTTTATACATACTTCGGATAATGTGGATAATATTTATTCATGATTTGGATAACGCGGATAATGGTTATACAGACTTTGGATAACGCGGATAATTATTATACATAGTTTGGAGAATGTGGATAATGGTTATACATAATTCGAATAATGCGGATAATGATGGTACATAGTTCGGATAATGTGCATAGTGGTTATACATAATTCGGATAACGCGGATAATGGTTATACATAGTTTGGATAGCGCGGATAATGGTTAGACATAATTTGGATAACGCGGATAATCGCTAAACATACTTTGGATAATGTATATAAAGGTTTATACAGACTTCGGATAATGTGGATAATATTTATTCATGGTTTGAATAACGCGGATAATGGTTATACAGACTTTGGATAACATGGATAATGTTTTACATACTTTGGATAACGTGGATAATGGTTATACCAAGTTCGGATAACGCGGATAATAGTTATACATGATTCGGATAACGCGGGTAATGTTTGTACATAATTCGAACAACGTGGAGAATGGTGATCCATAATTCGGATAACATGGATAATGGTTTTCAATACTTTGGATAACGTGGATAATTGTTATACATAGTTCGGATAATGGGGATACTGGTTATACATAATTCCGATAACGCGGATTATGATTATACATAGTTCGGATAATGTGGATACTGGTTATACCAAATTCGGATAACGCGGATAATGGTTATACATAGTTTGGATAACGCGGATAATAGTTAGACATAATTTGGATAACGCGGATAATGGTTATATATAGTTTGGATAATGCGGATAATGGTTAGAATTATTTGGATAACGCGGATAATGGCTAAACTGGTTATACATAATTCGGATAACGCGGATAATGGTTATACATAGCTTGGATATCGCGGATAATGGTTGGACATAATTTGGATAACGCGGATAATGGCTAAAATACTTTGGATAACGTATATAATGATTTATACATAATTCGGATAACGTGGATAAAGGTTATACATGATTCGGATAACGCGGATAATGTTTGTACATAATTCGAATAACGTGGATAATGGCGATCCATAATTCGGATAACATGGATAATGGTTTTACATACTTCGGATAACGTGGATAATATTTATACGTGGTTTGGATAACGCGGATAATGGTTATACAGACTTTGGATAACATGGATAATGGTTTTACATACTTTGGATAAAGTGGATAATTGTTATACATAGTTCGGATAATGTGGATACTGGATGTACATAATTCGGATAACGCGGATAATGATTATACATAGTTTGGATAATGTGGATAATGGTTAGACAAAATTTGGATAACGCGGATAATGGCTAAACTGGTTATACATAATTCGAATAACGCAGATAATGGTTATACATAGTTTGGATAACGCGGATAATGTTTGAACATAATTCGAATAACGTGGATACTGGTTATACATAATTCGGATAACATGGATAATGGTTTTACATACTTTGGATAACGTGGATAATGGTTATACATGATTCGGATAACGCGGATAATGTTTGTACATAATTCGAATAACGTGGATAATGGTGGTCCATAATTCGGATAACGTGGATAATGGTTATACATACTTCCGATAATGTGGATACTGGTTATACATAATTCGGATAACACGGATAATGGTTAGACATAATTTGAATAACGCGGATAATGGCTAAACTGAATATACATAATTCGGATAATGCAGATAATGGTTTTACATACTTCGGATAACGTGGATTATGATTATACATAGTTCGGATAATGTGGATAATGGTTATACACACTTTGGATAATGTGGATAATAGTTATACATAATTCGGATAATGCGGATAATGATTATCATAGTTCGGATAATGTGGATACTGCTTATACGTAATTCGGATAACGCGGATAATGGTTATAAATAGTTTGGATAACGCGGATAATGTTTATACATGATTCGGATAACGCGGATAGTGGTTGTACACCATTCAAATAACGTGGATAATGGTGATCCATAATTCGGATAATGGTTATACACACATTGGATAATATGAATAATAGTTATACATAATTCGGATAACGTGGATAATGGTTATACATAGTTCGGATAATGTGGATAATGTTTATGGTTTGGATATCGTGGATAATGGTTATATAATTCTGGATAATGGTCATATATAGTTCGGATAATGTGGATAATTGTGATATGCAACTCTGATAAGGTGGATAATACATCGGATAAATTGTATAATGCATGATACTCCTCTTCGGATAAAATGGATAACATGTCAGATGAAGCCGAATACTTTGGATAATATAATATGCATAAATCGTATATATGATTCTCGGATATTGTGGATAAACCATTTATCCAGTGCTTGTTAAATAATTCGGATAATGGATAAATCCTGATTTTCTATTTCCAAGAAACAACTTTTGGAACTTACTGTCGAACAATAGCTCAGCTTCGCATTGCTCATCGCCATGGGGATTAAAGACACGGCAGGTGTAGCGGCCCACATCCGATTCATCGGCATTCTTGATGCAGAGACGCATCAGGCCATTGCCCTCCGTTTCGATGTGGATGCGATCGGTGGGGAAGAGTTTTTGGCCATTCTTGAACCATTCAACTTCGGGCTTGGGATAGCCGGTGGCCATGGCAGTGAATTTGGCATCCATGCCGGGGTAAATATCGCAGTCACCAATCTTCTTGAGGAATACGGGAGGTTCGGAGCGGGCATGTTTCTTGCTGTAAAATTAATATCAATTTTCATGAAAAGGACCAATGCAATTATTCCTTGAAGACCTTACATTTCATTAACAATATCCAAACGGCCCTGGGTAATATCCTTGCCCTCGCGATTGGTGGCAATGCATTTGTACACCCCCTTGTCGCCATCATTGCAGTCCCTCACCGTCAACGTGTGATGATCACCATCGTGCTTCATGTAGTACTTATCGCCATCGGTGATGGGCTTGTCATTGAAGAACCACGTCAGCTCGGGATATGGCACACCAGATACACTGACGGATATCTTGGCATCGCCACCGTATACCTGCTGTTGGTCGGTAATCTTTTGTGTGAATACAGGCTTCTTGTACACCTTGCGGACATTGGCGTTACAGGACGAAGTGTCCTCACCCAAAGGATTGGCCAACAAACAGCTGTACACACCCGAATCGGAAGTTTCGGCTGGCTTGATGATCAGGCCGACATGTTTGCCGTCACAGGTCATGAGGATACGTTCACTGGGTTGCAGTTGGACACCATCCTTGGTCCAAATGGTTTCGGGCATTGGATTGCCCAAGAAGGGAGCGGATAAGGCCAGCTCCTGGCCCTCATCGGCATTGACATCGCGCAGGGTGGAGACAAAGCTGGGAGCCTCTTCGGCAGCATTTTCATCGGTGACGGGAGCCACAAATAGTTTGGCCTTGGAGGCGGCACTGCCCTTGACATTGGTGGCAATGACCTCATAGAGACCCGAATCGGCCACGGAGGGCTTTTCAATGATCAGGCTATAGGTGTGATCGGGATTTTCAATAATGGCATGATGTTTCTTGTCCTGGGGCGACAATTCTGTGCCATTGTGGAACCATTTGACCTCGGGGGCAGGGTAGGAGACAACCTTGACATCCATTTTGACGGGGAAACCTTCAATGCTGCGGGCATCTGTCAACTCGGCCACAAATTCGGGTTTGGTTTCCTTGGGCAATACCTGGACCTTGGCGACGCCCTTGATTTCTCCCTCCTTGTTGCTGATCACGCACTTGTAAATGCCGGCATCCTGGGGAGTGGTGGCATCGATGCTGGACAAATAAGAAAACGAAATGGATTAGTGATGGCTATCCCTTTTCGAAAATAGATTTCAGATGCCTTACCTAATACCAATCTGACCATTGGGATTGTTGATAAAGTTAATAGCCTGGCTCGGACGCAGCAACACCTCATCCTTGTACCATTTGATTTCGGGGGCTGGGAAACCCACCACAGTGGCCTCCAATTTCAAAGGCTCGCCAACGGTGATCTTTTGATCTTCGATGGGTTTCACAAAGCTGGGAGTCAGGGGTTTGGCTGGAAACAAACATCCAAGGAGGTTAGATCTAAGAAATGGAACTCAAAACCTAGGCATGACTTACGACTGACAGCCACAGCACACAGGGCCACCTTTTTGCCATGCTCATTGGTAATGGCCAGCTTGTAGGCTCCGGAATCATTGGGTTGACACTCCTCAATTTCCAACTTGCACAGACCCTGGGGTGTGGTGGTGATTTTGATGCTAAAAGAGAGGGAGAGAGAGAGAGTTTAGTATTAAAATATTATTCTCAATTTCCATTTCTCTTCCACTCACTGTCCGGTTGGTTTGATCTCCTCATTATCCTTGTACCATTGGATGACGGGCAGGGGGCTACCATCAACGACACATTGCAAGACCAATGGTTCGGTTTCATGTACTTCCTTGGTGGGTTCCAAATTCTTGACAAAGACCGGCGACAAATCCATCATGGTCAGCTTGAAGGGCGCCTCCGTGGTGCCAATGTCATTGGTGGCCACAGCGGCATATTTGGCCATATCGGAGAGGTTGAAATGCAAAACTTCAAATTCACTGGCAATTTGATCACTGGCCACCACTTTGTGGCTAATGCGATACAGGGGTTCTCCAGTGGTCTTATCCTTGGCATTGGCATCAATGGGTTTGCCATCCTTGGTCCATTCAATTTTAGGCAATGGAACACCATGTACCACAACCTCGGTCAAAGCTGGATGATAATCATGAACCACCTTATCTTCGGGTGGTGTAATGAAGGTGGGCTTCTCAACTGCAAGGAGGAAAGTGGAGGGGGAATTTTTTAATTGAAAAATTCGGATGAAAATCAAGTTCTACCATAAAAAAAATCCTCAGGACCTGAGGATCGATTTTTTCTAAAGAGAAAAATATCCTCAGGACCTGAGAATCGATTTTTTTTTCTATAGAGAAAAAAGTCTCCAGGACCTGAGGATAAATTTTTTTCTATGGAAAAAACCTTTGGACCTAAGGATCGATTTTTTTCTATAGAGAAAAATATCCTTAGGACCTGAGGATCGATTTTTCTTCTGTAGAGAAAAATATCCTCAGGACCTGAGGATCGATTTTTTTCTATAGAGAAAAATATCCTCAGGACCTGAGGATCGATTTTTTTCTATAGAGAAAAATATCCTCAACACCTGAGGATCGATTTTTTTCTATAGAGAAAAATATCCTCAGGACCTGAGGATCGATTTTTTTCTATGGAGAAAAATATCCTCAGGACCTGAGGATCAATTTTTTTCTATGGAGAAAAATATCATCAACACCTGAGGATCAATTTTTTTTCTATGGAGAAAAATATCCTCAACACCTGAGGATCGATTTTTTTCTATATAGAGAAAAATATCCTCAGGGCCTGAGGATCGATTTTTTTCTATAGAGAGAAATATCCTCAGGGCCTGAGGATCGATTTTTTTCTATAGAGAGAAATATCCTCAGGGCCTGAGGATCGATTTTTTTCTATAGAGAAAAATATCCTCAGGTCCTGAGGATCGATTTTTTTCTATAGAGAAAAATATCCTCAGGTCCTGAGGATCGATTTTTTTCTATAGAGAAAAATATCCTCAGGTCCTGAGGATCGATTTTTTTCTATAGAGAAAAATATCCTCAGGTCCTGAGGATCGATTTTTTTCTATAGAGAAAAATATCCTCAGGACCTGAGGATCGATTTTTTTCTATAGGGAAAAATATCCTCAGGACCTGAGGATCAATTTTTTTCTATAGAGAGAAATATCCTCAGGGCCTGAGGATCGATTTTTCTCTATCTACTCAGGACCTGAGTAAAGAAAGAAAGTTCTCAGGACCTAAGGATCGAGTAGATTTGAGAAAATTCTCAATTTCTCACATCTGTCTCTACTCTACCACTTACCATGAACATTGAGTTGGAAGTCCTGGGCAGTTGTGCCTTCATTATTGACCGCTGTCAAAGTATAGGTACCGCCATCATTGGAGGCCACGGTCTGGAAGACCAGACGATATTTGTTGGCATCAACATCGGCAATGACTTCACAATTCTCATTGTTGCACAAATTCTCATTGCCACGGCTCCAGGTCACCTTAGGCTTAGGATTGGCCTTGACCACAACGTCAAAGCACACCGTTTGTCCTGGCATGCAGCCCTGGTCCTTGAGACCAATAATTTCTGGTTTCGACAAAATATCAGCAAAGCAGCCAACATTGACCTTGCCGTATTTGTTCTCCAATTGCAATTCATAACGGCCGTTATCCTCGTGGATGGCTAAAGAGAGGGGAAAAGAGATTTTAGTAAAGAAAAAAAATCTCTTCGGGAAAAACTTACTCTCATCAATGTTCAGAGTACAGGTGTACTCAACCAGGCCATGTTGCAATTCCTTTTTATCCACACTGATCTTGATATGGCGATCATTGGTATCAATGGGTTTGCCATCCTTGAGCCAAACCATCTTGGGTTCGGGATCAGCGGTAAAGACCACCGGCAAGTGCAGGGGTTTACCCTTGTGGGTGCTGATATCGACAAGACCCTTCTTGACAATGGGTTTGCGGTATTCGGCAACACCTATGGTCAGAGAGATTATATATTACTCAGAGAGTTGTCTCAGATTTTGAGATGGGGTTTTCTTACCCGACAAAGAGAGCACACCTTGGTGGGACTTTTCGCCCACCTTGTTCTTGATGACTACCTTGTAGGTACCGGCATCTTCCAGCTTAAGAGATTTCTTTTCCAAGCGATATTTATCCTAGAGGAAAAACAAGAAAAAATGGTTATTTGTTATTGATAAAATGGGCCTTAGTCTACTAAGATTGTTTGTTATAGAAACAAATCGAGGCCTCAGTGTACTCAGACTATTATATTTTATTGGAAAATAAATCGTGGACTCAGTGTACCTATGCTATTTTTTCTATAGAAAAAAACTCGAGGCCTCAGTGTACTGAGAGGCCATTTTTTTCTATAGAAAAAAACTCGAGGCATCAGTGTACTGAGAGGCCATTTTTTTCTATAGAAAAAAACTCGAGGCCTCAGTGTACTGAGAGGCCATTTTTTTCTATAGAAAAAAACTCGAGGCCTCAGTGTACTGAGAGGCCATTTTTTTCTATAGAAAAAAACTCGAGGCCTCAGTGTACTGAGAGGCCATTTTTTGCTATAGAAAAAAACTCGAGGCCTCAGTGTACTGAGAGGCCATTTTTTTCTATAGAAAAAAACTCGAGGCCTCAGTGTACTGAGAGGCCATTTTTTTCTATAGAAAAAAACTCGAGGCCTCAGTGTACTGTGAGGCCATTTTTTCTATAGAAAAAAACTCGAGGCCTCAGTGTACTGAGAGGCCATTTTTTTCTATAGAAAAAAAAAAACTCGAGGCCTCAGTGTACTGAGAGGCCATTTTTTTCTATAGAAAAAAACTCGAGGCCTCAGTGTACTGAGAGGCCATTTTTTTCTATAGAAAAAAAAAAAAACTCGAGGCCTCAGTGTACTGAGAGGCTATTTTTTTCTATAGAAAAAAACTCGAGGCCTCAGTGTACGGAGGCCATTTTTTTTCTATAGAAAAAAACTCGAGGCCTCAGTGTACGGAGGCCTTTTTTTTCTATAGAAAAAAACTCGAGGCCTCAGTGTACTGAGAGACCACTTTTTTTTCTATAGAAAAAAACACGAGGCCTCAGTGTACTGAGAGACCATTTTTTTTTCTATAGAAAAAAACTCGAGGCCTCAGTGTGCGGAGGCCATTTTTTTTTTTCTATAGAAAAAAAAAAAACACGAGGCCTCAGTGTACTGAGAGACCACTTTTTTTCTATGGAAAAAAACACGAGGCCTCAGTGTACTGAGAGGCCACTTTTTTTCTATAGAAAAAAAAAACACGAGGCCTCAGTGTACTGAGAGGCCACTTTTTTTCTATAGAAAAAAAACACGAGGCCTCAGTGTACTGAGAGGCCACTTTTTTTCTATAGAAAAAAAACACGAGGCCTCAGTGTACTGAGAGGCCACTTTTTTTCTATAGAAAAAAAACTCGAGGCCTCAGTGTACTGAGAGGCCACTTTTTTTCTATAGAAAAAAAACTCGAGGCCTCAGTGTACGGAGGCCACTTTTTTTCTATAGAAAAAAACTCTAGGCCTCAGTGTACGGAGGCCACTTTTTTTCTATAGAAAAAAACTCTAGGCCTCAGTGTACTGAGAGGCCACTTTTTTTTCTATAGAAAAAAACTCGAGGCCTCAGTGTACTGAGAGGCCACTTTTTTTTCTATAGAAAAAAAAACTCGAGGCCTCAGTGTACTGAGAGGCCACTTTTTTTCTATAGAAAAAAAACTCGAGGCCTCAGTGTACTGAGAGGCCACTTTTTTTCTATAGAAAAAAAACTCGAGGCCTCAGTGTACTGAGAGGCCACTTTTTTTCTATAGAAAAAAACTCGAGGCCTCAGTGTACTGAGAGGCCACTTTTTTCTATAGAAAAAAAACTCGAGGCCTCAGTGTGCAGAGGCCAATCTTTTTCTATAGAAAAAAACACGAGGCCTCAGTGTGCGGAGGCCAATCTTTTTCTATAGAAAAAAACACGAGGCCTCAGTAGGATTTTTTTTCTATAGAAATAATAAGGCCTCCTTGTTCTGAGGTTATTTTCTTTCTACAGAAAAAATCGAGGTCGCAGTGTACTGAGAAAATTTCGTAAATAAATAAAAAAATCTTAAAGTTCCACTCACCCCCTCAACAACAATGGCGGTATTGGCATCCGGCTTAACTTCCTTGCCATCATGGTACCAAATAGCCTCTGGCTTGGGAATACCATGGGCAATGACCTCATATTTCAGAGGCACCGATTCATAGGAGTGCATTTCCATAATGTCCACATGGTCGATGGTGGGTTGAGCTACAAAACCAAACACACGATTAATTAATTTTCTCTCCCCCTCTCTCTCTCTCTCATTTCCCAAAAACTCACTCAAAACATTGACTTGACACTTGGATACACTTTCGCCCACCAAATTCTTGGCCCGGACTTCATAGACACCCGTATCCTGGGGTTTGCACAAATTCAATGTCAAGTTATACTCCTCATAGCGTTTGGTATTGTGGCTGATCTTTAGGCGGGCATCAGCCGAACATTCCTGGTCGTTGATGTACCATTTGACAGTGGCCTCGGGTTCGGAATAGATTTCGGTGTCCAAGGTCAGGGTATGGCCCTCCTCGATTTCAATGTCCTTCAATTGCTTCTTGATCTTGGGTTTGCCTAAGGAAAACCGGAAAAAAATATTAGGATCTCCCACCAAATTCCATTCCCCCTCCCCTTTCCGCTACTCACAATTCACTGTGACAATGCACTCATTCTGCAATTTGCCATAGTCATTCATAATGACCACGGAATAGGTGCCCTGCAGGGCTGTGGTCACCTGTTTCATAATCAGTTTGTAATCGTTACCCTCCTCTTGGCGACGGAACTCGTTACGCTTCTCATCGATTTCAATGCCATCAATGTACCACTTGATGCCCGGCTTGGGATAGGCATCGACGGCCACATTCAGGGTCACATCGGTGTCACCCTCGGTGACAATGATGTTCTTCAGATTCTTGGTGATCTCGGGGGTGCACTTGATGAGCAAATTGGTTTTGCTGGTGGTGGAGCCATGTTCATTCTCCGCCTTGACGGAATATTCTCCCGCATCGACCCGGGTCACACCGGTGATCTTCAGGGTATACGAATTACCATCCTGAATCACCGAGTATTTGGTGTTGTCAATGGTGATTTGTTTGCCCTCCTGGTACCAGGTCAGCTTGGCCTCGGGATAGGCATCAATGCGGCAACTCATGAGCACCGTTTCCTTTTCACCATGGACATACTCCTCCTCCAGGCTCTTCACAAACACCGGCTTCGAGTGGACCGTGCAGTTCCAGTACTCAGAGGTTTGACTCAGATCATTGGTGGCCCTTAGCGAGAAGTTGCCGGCCTGGGACAATTTAATCTTCTCGATTTCAATGGTGACCTTTTCGGTACTCTTGCCCACCGTGGTGGAGCTAATCTTAACATTCTTCTCCGTGGTAATGTCCTTGCCGTTGTTGGTGAGATTCAAAATGGGCTTGGGATAACCCTCAACCTCCACTTCGACCCTCACCGTCTCCTCCACATTGCAAACTATGTCTTTGACCTTCTTAATTTTCGGAGGTGCCTTAACCACCAAAGTGATCTCCGAACTATCTTCGCCCAACTCGTTCATGGCGTGGATGGTGTAGAGACCAGCATCTTCGGTGGTGGCATTCTTGATTAGCAAAGACATACTTTCGTCGCTCTCGTACAGGAACTTGTGGCGTTCGTCGATCTCCACGATCTGACCTTCGTGCTTGACCTGCACGGCCGGCTTGGGGAAGCCCTTGCATTGCATTTCCAATATGGCAGTGCCTCCTACGTGCGTGTTAGCTTCGCGATGTTCAATGACCAGGGTGGGTTTCTCGGGTTCCCGGTACAGCGTCTGTACGGAGCCTTGAACCGAAAGCTCGGCACTACAGGAGATATTACCAGTACTGGTCTGTGCAACGCAAGTATAGATGCCGGCATCCTCGGGCTTGACATGTTGGAAGACCAGGGCTAGGGAGTCTTCATCCTCGCCGAACAACACCTTGAAACGTTCTTCGGGGTCGAAGGGAGCGCCATTGCGTTTCCATTGGAAGACTGGCTTCTCGCCGGGTTGTAGGATTTGGCCAGCCAGGGAGCCGAAAGGATTTTTGTCCTCTGCAAAAAGAAAATCTTTATTCTCCAAACTCACCTTGAAATGTTTTCCTCACTTACCCACAGTGGTCACCTGGGCCTCACACAAGGCCTCACCAAATTTATTGACGGCCTTGCACATATAGGCTCCGGCATCTTCCTTGTATACTTCATTGATTACCAGTTCATAGTAACCCAAATAGTCTTTTTCCCGGACAATGTTGATGCGATCCGATTCCAGGATTTCTTGGCCGTCCTTGAAGCTGTAAAACAAGAGAGAGAGAGAGAGAAGGAAGGAGAATTTTAAAAAATATTTCCTCCATTGTTTTGGCTTTAATACTCACAATTGCACTTTGGGCTTGGGATCGCCCATAATCTTAATCAAGAAACGGAACTGGGTATTTTCCAACATTTCGGCATCCTTAAGGCTGCAGAGGAAAATTGGAGCCACATTGGTCTGGCTCTCATCGTGGCCAGCAGCTGAAAAAAAGAGACAAAATAAGAAATATATGTTAGGGAAATTAGGGTCCTGGAATGCCCATCAAAAGGTTTTAAAATTAAGGAAGGTCTCCAAAAATCGGCTCAAAATGACTTCTAAAGGACCTCTTCAAAAATCTTTAGGGGATCTTTCAACCCTAAAACGACCTAAATTGTCTTCATAATATGCATGTTTCCTTATAATGGAAAGCAACAACAGGACCTGAAATCATCGATGACTCCCTAAAGGTCCTTTAGAAAGACAACTTAATGAAAAGAACTCAAGATGTTCTCCAATCTTGGAAACCAACAAGGGAACCTCAGATCATTGATTCGTACTTGGAAGACCTTCAGAAGGACTATTGAGTGGAAGTACTCCATAAATGCATCGATCATGGAAACACTACAAACATTTTTAAATGCCGGAAGCTTTTTTGATGTCCTTCAAAGGATAAAATAAACCTAGGATGCTTTTAAAGGATGGAAGATCTCTGAAAGATCTTCTGAGGGCAAAGGACCTCAAGTCAAAACCTCCAGAATGACTTCTATTCTTAAAAGCCCAACTCTTCACTATCCTTACAAGTCCTTCGAAAGGTCCTCTAAGGCAAGAACTATGACAGACTTCCAAAAGTTCTCCAATCATAGAGAAAGTTTTTCGATAACATTTCTATGCATAAAAGATACCCAAAAAGGATTTTTCTAAAAAAATAGGAAACATCTGTAGAGTTTTCTCAGGTCGACGGACCTCCAGAGGGGTTTTCATGTCTAGAAAACATCTAGAAAGTTTTATAATATTAGAAGCGCCTCAAAAGCTCTTAATGTTCCTAGAAGTACTTCGACAGGTACTCTAAAAGTACAGGAGACCTCCAGAAGTTCTCCGATCATGGATACACTAGTGAAGGCCTTTTAATAATGGAAATTTCTTTGAAGGACCTTCACAAGTCCTTCAAACGACAAAAGGAAGGACTTCTACAGGAGTTTCTACGGCTAAAGGACCTCAGGGAAGTCTTATAATTGTGTAAGGACTTAAACACTCTTCTCTGTTGTAAGAAGCCTTCGGAAAGTCCACTAAAAATGTTTTTAAGACAGAAGAGCTTTAGAAGATCCTCAATCATGAAAACACAACGGAAGGGCTTTCAATGGTGGAAACTGTTTCAAATGACCTTCGAAAGAAGAAGTTATTTTAAAGCCAGATATCTTTGAAATGTATCTTAAGGGCAAAGAACGTCCAGAAGGTCCCTCAGGAATGGGAGACCTTCGGAAAATCTTAACACCAAAAAAATCTTAACCGCCAAAAAGGACTTCTAAGGATAACAGACCCATAAAAGGACTGTAGGAGGCCTCTAAAAGATTCCCAAAGAATATAAGATGTACAGAAGGACTTCTCAGGATTAAATACCTCCTGTAGGGAAATAGAACACCCAACAAGTATTCTACCTTTGAAAGGGCGAGGGTCATAATAAGTCCCCCAGAAAGTTTTCAAAGGATATAGAAGTCCTAGGAGGTATACAAAATGCATATAATTTCTTCTTCATTCTAACAACTTTGAAGACCTTGCAAGGGTCTTGTAAGACCTTTTGAAAGTCTTACATACCCAGAAGTAATTTTAGAGATTTAATATTCTTAGAAGTCCTTTCAGAGGTCTTTCATCCTTAGAATGCCGGCTCGAGAACATTCATATTGGGAGGCCCATTGAGAAGTCTTCTGGAGATATTCTATCCTTTGAAGGCCCTCTGAAGGTTTTATATCTCTAGAAGGCATTTTAGAGATTTCATATCCTTGGAGTCCTTACAGAGATCTTTCATCCTTAGAATGCCGTCTCGAGAACATTCATATTGGGAGGACCTTTGAGAAGTCTTCTAGAGACATTCTATCCTTTGAATACTCTCTGGTCTTTTAAGGATAGATATGACTTATGTACTTAGAAAGGGTCTTCTATCATGGTCAGGCTTTTTCAGTCTTTAATGCATGGAAAAGACTCCACAGGACTTTCATTGCTTCTCGAAATCTTCTATCCTTAAAAAGTTTTCTTAAGATCCTCCAGAGATATAAAGGACCCTTGGAGGAGAGCCTCTAGAAAACTTTTGTAAATGAAGGATCTACGAGAGGTCTTCTGAAAGTACCCAACATTTGTATGCCTTCTGCTTTGAAGACTCAGAGAAGTAAGTCTTCAATCCATGGAGGAATTAAATTCCATGGAAGGAATTTTATACTTAAAAACAATTCTTGAGGATATATAAGGATATGAAGGATCTTTGAAGGACTTTTAAGAATAAAAGACCTTTAGAATATCTGTAGATTTCTGAAATTTTTTTCCGAAAGTTTCTTCTAATGTTACAACATGTTTTAAGGCCTACACAATGGAAGATCTTTTCTTATTCAGGGAGAGGACCTTCAAAGGAACTTCTGTACTTGGAGGACTTTTAAGGGACCTTCGGTAGTATTTATCCTTTGAATAATTGCTTTGAGGAAGAGGTAAGACGTTTGTCTTGTGTACTTGGAGGACTTTTAAAGGACCTTCGAGAGTATTAACCCTTTGAATACTTGCTTCGAGGAAGAGGTACGTTTTTTATCTTCTGTACTTGGGATACCTTCTGCTTATCTTTAGAAGACCTTTTTCGTTATTGTATCAATAACAAATCTTTTAAAACTAATCCCTTACTGCATGTACTTGTTGAAATCCTCCATTAGGTATTTTTATTTAAGGACTAAAAAACCCTTTATAGTCCTTATTTAGAGAAATCTCCGACCTGAGTAGAACTTTTTGAATTAAAAAACCGCTTAGAGTTAAAAATATAACGGCTTTATGGGATTAACATCCAGACTACCAAATGTACAGGTCGGAATCTTTCAGAGGGGGTTCTTATGACTCATCTTCTTCTAAAATCCTCCTGAATGTCTCCTAAAGACATAAGGTCTTCATAGGAACTTTTTTTTTAATGATGGAGATCTTCAGAAGTCCCCCATTTATATAGAGCCCTGAGAAGGTCTTGAAATGGCGAAGGACCTCTGTAAGTTTTCCTACAACAAAGTATGCCCTCCTCAGGGGATTTCCAACCAAGAAAATAAAAATAAAATTCGACTTACCTTGGCCTACCGCCAATTGGGCGGTACATGTGGTGACCTCAGCACCGGTGCTGGCCTTAGCAGTGTAGGCGCCAGTATCGCGTTCACTGGAAGGCAAGGAAAATTGGAATTTAATTTAAAACCCACAAAAGCAATAATTCAAATTGCGATTTCAAAATTTACCTGCAATTTTTAATGTCCAAACGATACGAATTCATTGGAGCCTCGGTTTGTTGTATGCGATCGGCTAATACGTCATCCAAGGGTTTGTTGTCTTTTAGCCAAGTTACTTTGCCAGGTTTTTCTTTGTATTGGATTTCAAAATGGGCGGGTTCGCCAGCTGTACACACCAAATGTGGTGATGAGGAGGGGGAGGGAGGTAAGAAAAGTAATGGTTGAAAATTATTAATTTGCAGAAACAAATATTGAAAATGATCCAAAGGACATTTTGGTTATGTTTTAATATTCTGGAGCTCTTTAGCGTTTTCTACAGCACTACTTGCGGTTCTTGTGGTTGAATGTGTTGTTGTTTTTTTTTTTTTTTCAAACAAAAATCAAATCAAAAATTGGTTCAAAAAATAAATTTCCAAAAATAAAATAATTCAACAAAAAAATACGTTTTTCTTTTTTCAAAATTTTGAATTTCAGTTTTTTTTTTTCACCACTTACGTTGAACCTGTACGCATCTGAGCATACGGATGACGACAGGTTTCTCAATGGACTTTGGTGCACGGCCCTCCATCATTAAGGATGTGGTGGAGCGTGCTCCGATGGTGCGATTGGATGCTACAGAGAGACGGGAATAAGGACGATCTTCTAATTGACTTTCAGGACGCAGTGTAAGTGAGCTGCCAACTAATGCATTTCTTGGTGCCTTTAATGCATCTACATCGGCTAGACTATCGTAGGAAGCTCCTCTCGAAAAATCGCGTGGTCTACTGCCTGCGTTTGTTTGTTTGTTTGTTTGTTTTTTTCGGGGGGGAGGCAATGGCAGACCAGGCAATTGTTTCGAAACCAACAAAAAAATAATTCAATCACACCCAGCCGGCCAGCCAGCCAGTCAGAGAGGCATGTGTGAGGAGTGACCAGCATTCAGGCGGGAGCAGGAGCAGGAGCATCAGCAGGGGATTGCAAAGCCATAAGATGTGCGCATGTGTGTGTGTGGTTGAGCATGACAGCATGCCGCAAAAATAAAATTTTGTTTTGGGACCAGGATCAGGATTTTCATTGTTTTTTGGATTTTTATAGCGTTGGCAGGATGATAGCGTTTTTCAAAAATAGTATTTTAAATAAAAGAAAAAATGGTAAAAAAAGCTCAAAATTAGAAAAAGAAGAATTTTGAAAAGATTTTGGACATTTATTTTGTTAGTTGAGGACATAACCGGACCATTTCACTACTTAGGCAAAACAGACAAAAAAAAAAAAATTTCGAAAACAAAAAAAAAAAAAAAATAAAAAAATACAATTTTGACATTGGAATGAATGTTTGACACATACATACATAGAGTTTGAAGACAAACACACACACAAAGAGAGAGAGAGACAGACAGTGGCAACAGAGATATGAAGTGAAACAAATGACATTGGACATTTGAACAAAAATTCGAATAAATAAATAAAAAAACACGCAACACACAAGATTTTTCCAATACGAGAACATAAATTAAGTCAAGGCATTTGGAACATGAAATGACCTTGAGAAATTCCAAACAGAACACAGCACACAAATTTCCATAAATTACGATTTCGATATATTACAGCAGTGGGACCACAAAAATATATACATAACAATTCGGGGGGAAATAAAATTTCCCTTGGAGGGAAATTTTTTTTGAAAACGAATTTTTCTCAAGTTTTTTTTTTTTTTTTAACCCAAAATCTGGAATTTTTTAGAAACCAGAATAAAAATGAACAATAAAAAAAGAATATCAGACTTTTTTAGCAAGCAAGGTTAATACAAAAAATTGTGACCCCTTTGTGGGGGAGGTAGCAGAAGGAGTGGTCGGATACATTCCATTTTCACCCCAGATCTGGTGTTTATAGACATATTGGGATGTGCCGAGTTTGAAAAGAATCTGATGCTCATTTCGCATTTTATGAGCTTCACGGTTATTCAAAATTTTGACCTCTTTGTGGGGGAGGTACCAGAAGGAGTGGTCCGATATGTACCATCATCACACAATATTTAGTGCTGATAGAAATATTAGGATGTGCCGAGTTTGAAAGGAATCGGTTGCTCATTTCGGATTTTATGAGATATATAATTATTTAAAGTTTTAACTCCTTTGTGGTGGAGGTACCAGAAGGAATGTTCCGATATATCCCATATTTACATCAGACCTTGTGTTGATAGAAATATCGGGATGCGCCGAGTTTTAAAGGAATCGAATACTCATTTCGCGTTTTATGAGCTTTACGGTTATTCAAAATTTTGAACCCTTTGTGGGGGAGGTACCAGAAGGAGTGGTCCGATATCTACCATTATCACTCCAGATCTGGTGCTGATAGACATATTAGGATGTGCCGAGTTTGAAAAGAATCGGATGTTTAATTCGCATTTGATGAGACATATAAGACGAGACATATATTCAAAATGTTTAACGCTTTGTGGGGGAGGTACCAGAAGGAGTAGTCCGATATCTATCATCTTCACACAAGATTTAGTCCTGATAGACGTATTAGGATGTGCCGAGTTTCAAAGGAATTGGATGTCTATTTCGAATTTTGTGAGGCATATAAGACGAGACATATATTCAAAATGTTTAACCCTTTGTGGGGGTGGTACCAGAAGGAGTCGATTGACATATCCCATATTTACATCGGGCCTTGTGTTGATAGAAATATTAGGATGTGCCGAGTTTGAAAGAAATCTGAAGCTTATTTCGCATTTTATGGAAGATATAAATATTCAAAATGTTTACCCCTTTGAGGGGCAGGTACTAAAAGGACTGGGACGATATATCCCATATTAACACCAGATCTTGTGTTGATAGAAATATTGGGATGTGCCGAGTTTCAAAAGAATCGGATGCCTATTTCGCGTTTTATGAGCTTTATGGTTATTCAAAATAGTTAACCCTTTGTGGGGGAGGTACAGTAGAGAGTAAACCGATATTTACCTTCTCCACAACAAATATTGTGCTGATGGAATTACTGAGTTGTGCCGAGTTTGAAAATTATCGGAAGCTCAATTCGCGTTTTATAAGTTTCATCTTTATTTACAATTTTGACCCTATTTGCGGGGGAGGTACCAGAAATGGTGGACCGATATATCCCATCTTCACACCAGATTATAAAATTATTGCTATGTGCCGAGTTTGAAAAGAATCGGATGCTCATTTCGCGTTTTATGAGTTTCAAAGGCACTCAAAATTTTGACCCGTTGTGGGGGAGGCCAGAAGGGGTGGGGCGATATATCCCATCTTCCAAACAGAGCTTGTATTGATAGAAATATTGACATGGGCGAACTTTAACGGCAATCGAGTTCTCATTTCACATTTTAATTTAAAGAGTTATAATTATTCGAAATATTGACCCTTTGTGAGGGTGGTACTTGATGGAGTGGTCCTACATAATCCATTTTTGCACCCAACATGGCACTGATACAAATATTAGGATTTAAAAATTTTGCACAAAATTGAATGATCCCTTATACTTCTATGGGGTAAATTATTTTCAAGGAAACATTTAAACTTTTGTGGGGTAGGTACCCGAAGGAGGGCACCGACATTGCTCATCTCTGGATTGGTTCAAAGTTTGATAATAATATTACGTTGTAGCAAGCTTGGACCACATCAGATACTCCCTTCGAGAATTATCGTGTAAATCAGCCAGCGAGACAGACAGACGGACGGAAGGACACGCCTAGATCGACTCCAAATATCCTGAAATGGATTTGGTCCAAAGAGACCTAGGGTATAAACCCGCTATTTCGATGGCTGTATCAAATGGTATATACCCTCTCTGTAGCCATGTGGCTGAAAGTATAAAATATTTTTTTTTTTTTTTTTTGATTTTTTCAATCTTGAGTCTATTTTTTTTTTTTGTTTTTGAATTTTTTCAATTCTGAATTTAATTTTGTTTTCAGAAAAAAAAATACTTCATTCATAAATTTTATGAATAATATCCAAATATTTCTTAATTTCCAGACCGTCGAATATTTCTAGTTTAGAAAAGGATAAGTATTCAAAACTCGGGTTTTCATACGAAACAATTACTGACCTCTCTCAGGGGCCTGAAGGGGTTACATGAAAAGGACAAATACGGGGACATACAAACATTTCTTGGATAGGGAAGTTTTACATGAAACAAGTATCTCCTTGGGAAAGAGCTCAGAATTTCAAAAAAAAATGTTTTTGAAATCTCTCAAAGCCTTAAATTTCCCCCGCATTCCGCTTTCCACATAAAACACAAACGTCGTGCTCCCCACACAGAGACAAAACACTCAACACCCATTCAAGACACGACACGAATGATTTCCCCCCAGCTTACTGTCGCGTTGACGACGCGATGTCACCGACAAATAGTCCTCGGTGCGGGCCACACTATGTTCGCGGGTGCGAACCCCGCTGTACAGTGACTCGGGATATTCATCTTCGTAGTCGCTTAGGCGCGATGGCTCTTCGACAATTTCGTAAATGGGTCGCTTGTGTTTTATGGGCGGCGTGAAAATGTGGATGAAATCACGCGATGAGGCCTTGTTCACCGTGTCCACGGCATATTTGGTGGAGTCTTTCGACTTCATCACCGTCGATTTGATGGAACGGATTTTCTTTTTGGCATTTCTCAGGGAATTGTCAAAATCATCCGTGACATAGATACCCTCGAGGAAATTGGCCGATTTCATTTCCAAGGCCTCATTGTGGACCACCACACGGGGTATGAGGGTGATGGGTGGCGGTGGTAGCGGTACCGATTTGACCAACAAAATTTCTATGGACGTTTCATAGGCTATGCGTGGCAGCGGTTGGAAAAAGCCGGGCATGCGGTAATAGTGCGGGGGCAGGGGTGGCAAGGGAGGCTCGGAACCATCACTAAAGCCATCATGGCTCTGTTGAATGCTAGCCATGCGGTTGTTCCATTGGGCAAGCGAGGTGCTGTCGCGTATGGTGTAGACATTGCCGCCCGAACCGCCGGCGGAGCTTCCCTCTCCACCGGCCGTCTGGCGCAGGGATTCCTGATAGCCGGCAATGTCGTTAAGCTCTATGGGTTTGTGGCGGGGTACCAGCTCCTGTGTAACGGTAATGCGTGGCAGAACTATGGGCTGGGGGTCCACAGAAGAAGCTGGAGCGGGGGATGGTTCAGGCATTTCGTTCTTACCAAGATTTTCGGGTGCTTCGGGCAACTGCGATGATTGGCTGTTTTCGGCGGACCCAACCGTTGTCTGTTGTTCGGTGGTCTGGGCTACCTCTTGTTGTTGTTGGGTAGTGGTTTCAAGGGTTTTGGTGGTGGCTGTGGTGGTGGAGGCTGTAATGTTTTGGCTAAGTGTTTCTTGTTGTTGCTGCTGAACTTCAGTGGTGGTCTTCTGCAGCTGTGCAGTGTCCTTGAATCCCTTTAGCTTGGCCTCAAAGATTTTGTGGTCCTCGGCAATTTGTTTGATTTCCGAGGCCTGTTTAGCGGCTTCAGCGGCACTTTGTTGTTGGGTGGATTCTTTCAGCTCCCGTAGCTTGGCCTCCAGGGCCTTCTCAGCCTCGGTGGCCTGTTTGTTTTCGGCAAACTTTTGTACCGTTTGGACTTTGGTATCGCTGGTCTGCTGGACTTGAGTTTCAGTGGAATTTTTCAAATCCGCCTGAGTTGGAGCAGCAGTGGCAGAGGGTGTGGGTTTGGTGGTGATAGGAGCAGCAGGAGCGGTTTCCTTTTTGGGTTCCGGCGATTTAATACCCTTTGAGCTTGGTGGTGGTGTGGGTGTTGATTTCTTGGGTGTTTCCTTTTTAACTGGTTCGGGACTTTTTATTTTCTCCTTTGCCTTGGGTTCTTCCGCCTTTGGTGGCTCTGGAGCTTTGGGGGCTACAATTTCCGTTTTGGTCTCCTGACTGGCAGAGATATTCCTTTCCTGTTGTTGGTCTACAATTTTGTCGTTGTGGGTAACCAGTTTTTGTTGTTCCTGCAGTGATTGGCTCTGGGTGGTTGTGGTTTGTTGCACACCATCCGATTTTTGTACCACCTGGGTGGTAACCACTTCCGATCTTTGTTGTTGTTGCTGTGTGGTGTTAACTTCCTGATTGGAGGCAATGGATTTTTGCACCAACTTCGTACGATTGTAGAGCTCTATGGATTCCTGTTCCAAACGCAAAAGCTCTTGATATTCGGCCTGGTAACGTTCCTTCTCCTCCTTGGTTAGGAAGTAGTCCTTGGCCACATCTGAGGCCCTGACACTGCTGTCGGGATTATATGCTTCCGCCTTTTGTGGCAATCCCAGGGAGGTATCCTCCAGAACTTGTGTCGAGTCTAGACGTATGTCGTCGGCTCTATGCTCCTGCAGAGTAACCTCTTTCTCCAGATGCGAACAGATCTCGTTGTACCACTTGTGTCTCAACTCCTTGTCGTCCTTGTGGGGTTTCAGGCAAATCGGTAAATTCCCACAATCCTTTGCATTTGGCTTGGCTTGAAAGCGTATCAAATTCTGTACCTCGTCCTCCTCGACCACGCACTCGGGTAGCTTGATCAGTTCCTGGAGGGCAAATATCGATTTCTGGTCACTGACCTTGCGCACCTTGCAGATGAGCAGGCGGGACTTGAAGTGAAAGACGTAACGGTCGTGGGCCTTACCCTCCTTGTCCAGCAACGTCCACCACTCGTGTTGTAGCAGACGTCCGATTTTTCCAATATTCCCGCGATATCCTTCGATGCTGTTGAGCAGAGCACTGTCGTAGGCCCGGCTGGGGACGCTAAGCATTAACTCTAAAGCTTTTTGGATATCTTTGATGTTTTCTTTTAAGCTCAGTGAGAATTTAAGCAAATCCTGTGGAGTAGAACAAAGTTGTTGATGTTGTTGGATTTCTTTCTAAAGTTGTTGTCTAAATTTTTGTCTCGGTGGTGTTGTGAAGGGGGGAAATGTTTGGGGATTCAAATTCTTTGTTGAATTAAAGGGCTTAGAGGGGAGGAGTGGTATTTTTTGTTTCAACTAAAGGATATTTGTGTGACTGTGTCTATGTGTGTGTGTGCGTGCATATTTCACAGAGCCAAAGCTTGGGTGTTTTTGCATGTGTGTGCGTGCATATGTGCTTTCTTTGACTTCTTGTGTGAAAAGCTTCCAAGCAGCACGCTTTCTACGAAAGTTTAGTATTCTCTCAAATTGGTAACACTGTCAAGTGCGTATGTATGTATGTTGGAATGTGTGTGCAGAATAATGAGAGCTGTGACAAAGTTTGGTTGTGTGCAAATTTTGTCAATTACTGTTATATTTATTGTTGTTGTGCATGTGATGCATGTTGTTGTTTTCGTTTTTTAATTCTTGATGTATTTTTACCAAAAAAGTGGCGATTTGTGGTCATGTGGGGTTCAGCTAATCTATGTAAGCCATTTAGGCGTTTATTTTTAAATGAGGGACTTAAGAAAGAAAGACTATTGAATTGAGGTATGGACATAATCGTAATTTATAATAAATAATTATTAATTTAAATTTTAAATTTATTATAAATTTATAATAAACAAGTAAAAAAGCTGTAAGTTCGGCCGGGCCGAACTTTGAATACCCTCTACCATTTGGAACGAATTTGACAATTCTCAAAAAAAAGAAAATTCGTTAAAACTTCTGTTAAAATCTTAAAAATACCGAATGTAGCTATTATGTTAGAGTCTATACGACGACATGAGCCAGCGTAGGTAACATTTTTCATAAGCCATTACAATATTCGAATGCGAAACCTAAAAAAAATCGGTTATAATGTCGATAAAATCAAAATACCGAATATCGGGAGATACCGTTATAGGGGGGCTCTACGAAGACGTGGACCTGCACAAACAATTTTCTGTCTCAGACTGTAGTATCCATTACGAACTTCAAATACCAAATTTGAAACAGTTCTGGTGAAAAATGTCCCTAAAATCATTAAAATACCGAATATCGGGAGGTACCGTTATATGGGGGCTCTACGAAGACGTGGACCTGCACAGACACTTTTCTGTCGTAGGCTGTAGTATCCATTACGAACTTCATATACCAAATTTGAAACAATTCTGGTGAAAAATGTCCCTAAAATCATCAAAATACCGAATATCGGGAGGTACAGTTATATGGGGGCTATAGCAAAACGTGGAGCTACATGCAAAAACGTGGAGCCATTTTCAATACCAAAAGTTCTGCATACATAACATACATTTGAGCAAAATTTTATCAATCTACTTCAATTCGTTCGGAAGCTAGAGTGATTTCCACAGACGGACAGATGGATAGACGGACATACAATTCTTAGTCTAACGATGTCCGGTCTGTCCGTCTGTTTGTTGAAATAACGATACTGCTCACATTATTCGACGTAGATCTTTAAACTTTGGCATAGTAGTTTGCATTGTGCCTAGGATGGTTGGTATAGGAAATGAGATATTTTTGCTCACGTTTTGAGATAGCCCCCATATAACGGTATTTTCCGATATTCGGTATTTTGATAATTTTAGCCACACATTTCCATCAATTTGTCTAAAAAGTGGTATTTGTAGTTTGTTATGGGTTCTTGTTCTAGTGGCGGAACATTGTACAAAAAGGTCCACGTTTTCATATAGCCCACGTATAACAGTACCTACCGATATTCGGTATTTTGATAGTTTTAGCCCCATTTTTTCCTCGGATTTATCTAAAAATGAGTATTTGTAATTAATTATGGGTTCTAGCTCCGATGGCAGAATATTGAATATCTAGGTCCACGTTTTCCTATAGCGCACATATAACGGTTCCATCGGATTTCCGATTTTCAAGGTTTTATATTGTTCCAGTTTTTATACCCTCCACCATACTAAGGAAGGTATATTTACTTTGTCATTCCGTTTGTAACTCTTCGAAATACTCATTTCAGACCCAACAGAGTATATATATTCTTGATCAGCGTAAAATTCTAAGTCGATTTAGCAATGTCCGTCTGTCTGTTGTAATCACGCTATCTTTCGAACAAATTGAGATAGAAGGCTAAAATTTTGCACACATGTTTATTTTTCCAGTAGGTTTAGTTCGTAAATGGGCCATGTAGGTCCACGTTTTCATATAGCCCCCATATAACGATACCTCCCGATATTCGGTATTTTGATGATTTTAGCGACATTATTCACCGGAATTATTTCAAATTTGGTATTTGAAGTTCGAAATGGATACTACAGCCTAAGACAGAAAATTGTCTGTGCAGGTCCACGTCTTCGTATAGCCCCCATATAACGGCACCTCCCTATATTCGGTATTTTGATGATATTAGCGTCATTATTCATCAGAATTGTTTCAAATTACGTATTTAGAGTTCGTTATGGGAACTACAGTCTGTGACAGAAAATTGTCTATGCAGGTCCAGGTCTTCGTATACCTCCCTATATTCGGTATACCTCCCTATGTTCGGTATTTTGACGAGTTTAGGTACAATACCCACCGAAATTGTTTGAGATGTCGTATTTGAAGTTCGTAATGGATGCTACAGCCTATGCCAAAAAATTAACTATGCTGATCCAGGTCTCTGCACAGCTCCGATATAACGGTACCTCCCTATATACGAGATTTTTATATGATTTTAGCTACATTATTCACCGTTTATTTCAAGTTTCGAATTTGAATATGGTAATGACTTATGACAAGCAATACCTATGTAGGTCCACGTCGTATAGACCCCAGTATACCGGCAATATTCGATTTTTGTCGTATTTCGGAATAAATATATTTAAACTAAAAAATCTTCAGAAAAAATTTTCAAACTTATCTTCCAAAACTATTTCAACGTCTCCATGTGTAAACCCTACAAAACCAACAATGACCTCAATATCAAAATTTAGAATCCCAGCTCTATCCCTTCACCCAATATCAAATTTAGTAGCATTTAGTAAGTATATCCAAAACAGTTTACATCTTTTCATCCTAGACACCAACTGTGATAAAAATTTGTACCATGTAGTACTTTTCGAACAATTATAGAACCCATTTGCAAAACCACCTCCTTACCTCAGTCCCAGATGCCAAAAGAGATCTCAATATTCTCTACCCTTTACCCAATACCCCATTTAGTGCCATTTAGTACTTTTCGAACGAATAGAACGCATTGGCAAACCCACAACCTCTACATTGACATCAATTTCAAATTTGAGGATTCCAGCCCTATTCCTTCACCCAATATCAAATTTAATACCATTTGCTACTTTTCGTACAAATATAGGACGCATTTCCAATTCTACAACCTCTACATCTTAATCACAGAGACCAACATTGACATCCATTCCAGCCCTATTCCTCCACCCAATATCAAATTTAGTACCACAGTAGGACATATTTCCAAACACACAGCCGAATCTCAAGCGAAGATACCATCAGCAATCTAAATATAAAATTTCAGAATTTTATCTCAGGAACCCCAATACCATATTACAGGCTTTAAGCACTATCTGTTCACCCAATACCAAATTGTACCAAATAGTACATATTTCCCAAACCACCTCCATATCTCAATCCCATTTGAAAAATTCCACAATTATTACGATTTTTTAAAGACAGCTTCCCAGACAGCTTTAAAAGAAAATAGTTTTTCGATAATCGTGTCTTTAATAAAAAATTAATGGTTGTGAAATTTTTCAAAATATTTTTCAATGTTGATGTTGTGTTTTTTATACCCTACACCACAAGGTGGTCAGGGTATTATGTCTTTGTGCATTTGTTTGTAACAGGCAAAAGGAAACGAGATAGACCCATAGTTCCTTTTGATGATCTGCATAGAATCACTTTCTGAGTTGATTTATGCATGTCTGTCCGTCCGTCCGTCCGACTGTCCATGTATTCTTGTGAACAAAATGCAGGTCGCATTTATTATCCGACTGAGATGAAATTTTGCAAACAACATTTGTTTGGCCCAAGGACGAACCCCATTGAAATTGGAGATAATCGGTAAACATTTAGAAATAGCTCCCATATATATCTCCGTCCGATTTGCCTTTTATTGTGCAAAACGTGTAATATCAGCCCGAATAGTATGGAATTTTGCACATACAACCAAATTAGGCCTGCAAATAAGTATGCCAAATTTGATCGAAATCGGTTCAGATATAGCTATAGCTCCCATATATATTGTTCATCCGAGTTGTTATTTTTGTCTTCCGCAGCCGTAATATGCACTCTGTAACAACAATATTTGGGGAAATATATCAAATGCAGCTCAGAAATACATTTGCTAACTTTTATCGAGATCGGTTAAGATTTGGATATAGCTCCCATATATAACTTCGTCCGATTTACCATTTATTGTGCACCAAACGTCTAATATTTGTCCAAATGGGATGGAATTTGGCACATACGACCGAATTTAGTCTAGAAGGTAGTATGCCAAATTTGGTGAAGATCGGTTCAGATATAGCCATAGCTCCCATATATATTGTTCATCCGATTTATTGTATTTGTTACCCACAGCCGTAATATGCACTCCGTAACAACGATATTCAGGGAAATATATTAAATACAGCTCAGAAATATCTTTGCCAAATTTTATCGAGATCGGTTCAGATTTGGATATAGTTCCCATATATATTTTTATCCGATTTCAAATTAATTTCGCACCAAATGGGCAATACAAGTCCGAATTTAAAAGATACAAATGCTTCGGCATATTTAGTCCTTTGAATTTTAAATTATAATTATAATCATAGCGTGTATGATTGAATTCTACCATAAAAACTTTTAGTTGTTATGTGGAGCTCTACTAAATTAGCAAAGTGGTGTAGGGTATCATAAAATGGCCCCGCCCGACCTTAGGACTTTCTATACTGGTTTTTAATATTTTTCTAATCGTTGATTTCTAAAAAATAATTCAATATTTTTGATAATTTCAAAAAAAAGAAATCAATCATAGATTTAAATAAAAAAGAAAAATGGCTATTTTTATCAAAAATATTGAACTTTAAAAAAATAAATATTAGGGATTTTTTTTAAATAAAAAATTTTTGATTTTGAAAAAAAGTTACCATCTGTTCTTCTTGTATAGATCTAGTATAGATTGATTTTAATTTTCTTAATATGTCCATAGCTTCAATAGTCGTTCTTTCTTCATTAAAATTAACTACATACCTTAATTCTAAATTATGTAATTAATTAAATACTTGAATTATAAAAATAAATAATAAAAAAAATAAATTCTTTGATTGACTTACCTTCAACAAGAGCTGATAGTCGTTAATTCGTTGAATGGGCAATTTCAAATGATCACTTAAAGATTTCTCGTCGTTATATCTAGTCGAAATTTCCTATTGGCGGAAAAGAAGAAAAATTTTGAAATTTTGAAACATTTTCAATAACGGGAAATTAATTTAAATTTTTTTATAATTTAATTGATTTGTTTGTCATTGGTGGCGGTAATGGCAACATTTGGCGGGTAGTGTGTGTTTTTCAAAAAAAAAAAAAAAAAAGATGTGTGTCATTCGTGTCGGCCACTGTCCATTGATTTTGATTGAAATCATTCAAAGTATTTTTTTTTTATTTTTTTGACGACAGAAAAATGTTTGAAATTTTGTTGTGCCGAGAAAGGTTAATGATTGTGTTTTTTTTTTTTTTTTTTTTTCATTTCTTTCCTTGTTGAATATATACTTTTTCAGAATTTTTATTTTTTTTTTTTTACATTTTTGTTTAAATATTTATTTGTATATTATTTGATTTTATTTTGGCTGTTTTTGAATTACTTGCTTCGAAATGTATTCTTTTTTTCTTTTTTTTTGAATTTTCATACGTCCCATTCACATTTAATGATCTTGAGTATGGCAAAGATGTTGATGCTGCTGCTGTCAGTGTTGGTGTTGGTGGTGATGGCTATCTGCTACAGGCCACCCATCCGTCCACCCACATTCCGCAGAATGTTAAGGTCTATTTTTAATTTTAATTTCAAACTTTGTTTACGATTTTTTTTCTACTTTTTCTTCAACACCCACAATTTGCCAATGTTGAAAAAAAACCAAAACCAAAAAAAAATCATTTGGCAATAATTTTCACTCAACCATTTTGCTTTTCTTAATTTTCTTTTTTTCTCTCAGATATTTTCAGTATCATTTTTCGTTTTCTCACATTGCTTTACTGTTCTGTTGTGCGTGTGTGTTTTCGGTTTTTCTTTTCTTTTTCTGTTGCTCTGCAACAATTTTTCTTAAATGAGTTTGCATTTTCATTTGAACTTTTCATATAATTGGTTGTAATTGTTGTTGTTGTTATTGTCTTTTGTTGTTAAGTAATTTTATTTTCATTTTTAGTTGCTGTTTTTCTTTTCGATTTTTGTTTTTTTTTTTTTTTTTGTTTCTTTCAGGAATTTCTGTTTTATTTCTCGGCAATTAACAGTGACATAACTCATCAACAGATTGCATTTTGTTTTTAACAGAATTTTTGTGCGATTTTGATGTATTACAAAAATATGTCAACAGTTTAAAAAATAGTTTGAGGATAGTTTTTAATAAAATAAAACATTTTTTATTAACCTTCAACAAAAATCTTCCAAAATTCTATGGAAAAAAACGTATTTCAGTGTTCGAATTTTATAGGCATTTTTTATAAATATTTTTAATTTTTTTTATTTATAATTTTTGTTTTGGAAAAATTCTTTTATCAATCTCCAAAAAAATCCTGAAAAATCGTATTTCTGTGCTCAATTTTTGTTGAAATGTTTCATAAATATTATGCTAAAAACCCCCGCAATACCAAGTCCATTTTACACAATATACCTAAAAAAAATATGAGAACAAATTTTGTGGAAAATTTTAACCTTCTAACCTAATTTCCTCTTTATCTAGTTCCTTGGACTGCGGTCGTTTGTTTGAAAACTTTGCGTATGAGTGTTGTGAAATTTATTATTATCACTCATACGTATAGGATATAGATTAACACAACTCTACCTCTAACGACGAGGTATTCTCGGTCCCTTTTTTCAGAAAATGTTAGAAAGGTCTGAAAACGGAACATAGTAAAATAATACAATGCTAAATACAATTTTCTATAAACTCGAAATACACCACTGATCAAAGTCAAAAAACAAAAAAAAATGAAAAAAAGTATCGGTAGGTTTTGCCGACAAATGTATACCCTGACCTAGTGTTTGATTATTTGAATAAATTTTGATTTCTGTTATAATTATGTAAACTGTTGACCTTCTATGGGGCAGGTTCTGAAGAAGAGGGCCAATATTGTAAATTTCGTATCGGAAAACCTCCTTCACTTTATATGAGATATGCGATAATATTAAGAAAATGTTGAAAAGTGCATGCGGTGCCAGATATAGTATTCATTTTCATCGATCGATCGCTTTTATGAATGTTTTGTTTTTCAAAATCTTGAACCCTATGTGGGGGAGGTATCAGAAGAAATGGTCCGATCTCTATCATCTTTAGAACAAATCTTGTGTTGATGGAAATATTGAAATGTGCAAAGCCTGAATGGAATCGGATGTTAATATCGAATTTTATGAGTTTCATGGATATTCAAAATGTTTACCCTTTGTGTGGGAGGTACCAGAAGGAGAGGGCCGATATAACCCATCTTTACAACAGATTTCGCGTTAGTAGAAATAATGGAATGTGTGAAATATAAAGAGAATCTAATGCTTATTTCGGATTTTATAAATATTTTGATTATTCAAAACTTTCACCCTTTGTGGGCGAGGTATCAGAAGGAGTGAACCGATATATTCCATCTAAGCACCAGACCTTGGGTTAATAAAATTATTGCAATGTGTGAAATTTAAAGACAATCGGACTCTTACATGTCATTTTATAAGAGTTGTAATTATTCGAAATTTAGACCCTTTGCGGGATAGGTACTTGATGGAGTGGACCGATCTTGTCCATTTCCGCACCTGACATAGCACTGACGCAAATATTAGGATTTGCAAAGTTGGAGCAAAATCGGATTATTGTTTCTCTTTATGTGCAGAAAATATATTTTTGCAAAAATTCGAACTTTTATGGGGGAGGTACTAGAAGGAGTGGACCGAAAGTGCCTATCTGCGAACTTGATCTAAGTTTAACAAAAATATTACGATGTACCAAGTTTGGACCATATCGGATACTTCCTTCGAGAGTAATCGTGTGTTCCAGACGGACGGACGGACATCGCTAGATCGACTCCAAATGTCCTGAAACGGATTTGATCCAAAGAGACCTAGGGTCTAAAACCGTTATTTTGACTATACACATTTTGACCAAATGATATATACCATCTATAGCCATATGGTTAATGGGGTATAAAAAAATCCAGAAAAATCGTATTTCGACTCTAACATCAAATCGGACGAAACATATGATTGGGATCTATAGCTATATCTGAACCGATTATTACCAAATTTGCAGTACTTGTTCCAGGAATGAATTTAGTCGGATGTGCCAAAATCAAGTTCATTTGGACTGATATTAGCCATTTGGTGCACAATAAACCTGAAATCGGATAAAGGTATACATGGAAGCTATATCCAAATCTGAACCGATCTTGATAAAATTTGGCTTAGGTATTTCTGGTCTATGTCAGATATCTGGTACCAAATATCATGCTTGTGGATGGCATATTACGCATGTGAGGGACTCAAAACCTCAAGTCGGATGAAACCTATATATGGGAGCTATAACTATATATGAACAGATTCTTACCAAATTGGATGTATTTGCTTCTAGACTAAATTCGGTCGGATGTGCCAAAATCCAGTTCATTTGGACTGATATAAGCCATTGGGTACAAAATTAATCCGAAATCGGTGAAAGATATATATATGGGAGCTATATCTAAATTTGAACCGATTCTCACCAATTTCAATAGGGTTCGTCCTCGGGCCAAATTTTCATCTCAATCGGACCTGCATTTTGTTCACAAAAATACATTGACAGACGAACTGACATGCATAAAACGACTCAGAAAATGATTCTATGAAGATCTTCGAAAGTAACTATGGGTCTATCTCGCTTACTTCTCCATGTAACAAAAAAAAATGCACAAATACTTAATACCCTTACCCCTATGTGGTGTAGGGTATAAATACGTGAAAAGGTTTTGTGGAAAATGTTAACCCTCTAACTCAATTTAGTTCAATCGAACCGGACTCCGGTCGTTTGTATGAAAACTCTGCGTATGAGTGATGTGAAATATATGAAATCACTCATACGTATAGGAAATAGATCAACACAACTCGTCGTCGAAATTTCGGGCTCTTTTCTTTTAGAAAATGTTAAAATGATCTGAAAAACGGATCCTAGTAAAGTATCCCAGGCGAATATTTGCTAAATACAATTTTCTATGAAACTCAAAATACAAGAAAACTTCGGCCAAAAAATAGTTAACATTTAAAACACATTGTTTTGGAAGAAGGCCTCATTTTAGCGGGATAGTGTGGAAAACAAAAATATTCTCCATCAAATTTTACTATAATCCTCCAAATATTATCAGGTTGAATATTTAATATTTATCAACAAAATATGGTGATAAATTTTGTTAAAAAAAAATATTCTACATTGATTCCTACGTCTTTTCGTTGGAAATTCTAAGGCACTATTTTCGAGTTAGTACTCGAAAATGGCATTGTACCTCATTTTAGAGGGAAGTTGTCAGAGAAATAAATATTCTGCAACAATTTTCCCCCTAAGTTCTGAAAGAAACCATATATCTAGGGGCTACACTTGTATGGGAAATTGGGGGGATGAATTTTCCTATATGAGCATTTGATGACATTATTCTTTTTAAATCGCACATTGTTGACTTGACCCCGATTTCTCCATTAAGGATCCATGCTATGAACTTTGTATTAGTGAAAGAAATATTCTACATCCTCAATGACCCTCATTCTAAATATCAATTACATTACTAGTAGTACTGAAAAGTGGTAAATGTGCCTTCCAGCTATTTGTTGAACATTTGTTGGAACTTTATAGGGAAGCTTTCACAATAGTATTGGATCAAAGAAGCTCAAAACCGGGCTGAATTATCAGTCCATCAATGTGTTTGATATGTTTGGAAAGGTCAATAACTCTTAATATTCAAAAGAAGATCTCAGTGCATTGCCAATATCGTAAATGTCCTGCCCTTGTTTGTATTCCCAAACACTGAGCAGATCTGGGGCCTTAAAACACATATTTGACATTGAAATGACGTTGGGGCAATTTGTCTCTATCTAAAATCAATTTTGAACTTCCAGTCTGTTGACTGATGGCCTTTTTTCTTGTTTCGAACACCGACGCTGTTTATTTGCCACTTTTGTGTTATTTTTATGGACGAACACAACAAATATCAA